TTCTTAAATCTAACATAACATCATCCCACATATTTGCATGTTCAGCCTTTAAAAATTCCAAGAAGGTCGCAGCATTTACCTTGCAGGCAAAAGGTAGGGTCCAAATAGTCGATTACGGTAGATACCAATCCACACGTTCACACTAAATTCATGCTGAAAATTTCTTTCCCGAACTGCATGCGGATTTTCATGCGACCAAATATGTTGATTATGAAAATTTACCACTCCACGTCGAGTGAAGCATGACTCATCGGTCCATAAAACATTACTTAAAAACTCCCTATTATTATCAGTTATATCAAGAATCCACTGACAAAATGTGATTCTTCGTTCTCTGTCCCCTGGCTGTAGTCCTTGCACAGGTTGCAAATGTTAAGGACGTCTATGATCATTTCTAAGAACACGGTGAACATGGCGTGCTGAAATTCCCAAGGCACCAGAAACTCTCCTAACACTTGTGGTCGGATCTCTATCAAACTCACGCAGAATCATACGGGTAAATCTGCGCTGACGAACATTTATGTTTTGATCCCTTTGGAGATTTCCAAAACCATTTTCAATTATTTGGCGATGCACTCTTACAAATACTGAGCGAGTTGGATGTCGTCTGTTTGGAAATCTTGGTGCGTATTCTCTGGCTGCTTCTGCTACGTTTCCATTTAGAAAGCCATACACAAAATGAATATCCGCTAACTCTTGATTGGAGAATAAAAATGTCATTTTTATAAAACTTACAAAAAAAACAGGTAAAAGAAACTAAATTTCGTGCATTCACAATTCCAAAAAAAAGGTTTCAGGTTTCAACAGACAACAAATCAACTAATTGACGTTTAACCTTATTCTGCTTTCAATTTCAAAAATATTTGCAGGCACAGCCTACTCCTAAAAATTATCGAGATACTGACTTTTTAACGTTATTTTATCGTAAATAATTAAAAATGCATCGAACCTTAAAAATCGAAATATCTCAAAAACGGCTAACTATAATGAAAATATACAAGAGAGCTTTTTTATGTTGAAAAGTACGAAGAATCAGCTTTTTTATTCAAAACGCAAAAAATTTCACTAAGAAAAAATGTTCAGTCATTTTAATACACTACAGGTACAATAGAGAGCGCCCTCTAGCGGCTAGAGTAAAACTATGCCCATGGTTCATTTTGTCGTACCAAAAAACCCTTGTATACCAATTTTTACTGTTATACATCAAATATTGTTCAAAATATTTAAAAAAAACTATTTTAGAAAGTAAATTTAAACACCCTGTATTTCGGAAGCCACGCATTTTTCGACCCATGTTTATATAGACTTTATGCATTAATTTTAAAAGTTCTATCGAATCTTAAAGTTATGCAACAATAAACTGAAACACCCTGTATAATGAAACACACGGATACATACTGCTTTTGCATTAAAAATAAATTCTGGCGTCTCATAATTATTGTGTATTGATTTATTTCAACAATAGTTGTATCATGAACTTTGTGATTTTATAAATCAGGCAAGGACTGGAATAAAAAGAAAAATGTTGATGAAAGTGTAAAATACATATTATGTTTAAATCCAAAAATTCCATAGGTGTTGATTTATTTCCAGAGCATAAAACCCCGCTTATAAACCCTGACCCTTTCTATTTTTTGATCAACGATAATCAACCTAGAAGAATTGTTTTTGGTTGTGTTAAAAACATGACGGAATTTAAAGCGATTTACAAATAACAACTATACGTATTGTAGGTTGTTGAAACTGAAGCTGAAATCCCTCTAAAGTCTAAATGTATCTGGTTCCGTTTACTTTTTTATACCGAAGAAGTAGCGCAGACAGAAGCCTAAATACTAGGGCACTGCAGTCATTGTTGATTAGAACTGGGAAAAGCCTTCTCAGGTATCGGCCAGTTCCAGATGTACGAAGTTTGACACGGCCAGGAAGAAAGTTAAAAAAAGAAGAGGATATCGAATGGGAGAAACGGAAATGCAGATAATATGCTACGCCGACGAAGCCATAGTAATAGCCGAAAATGAAGATGACCTACAAAGATTAATTAAACAATTCGAAGATACGGCGTTCATATACAAGATGGTGATTTCAACAGAGAAAACTACATCGATAGTGATATCAACGGAACCGAGACGATGTAAGCTGGTCGTAAATAACAAAATAATGGAACAAGTGATGGAAACGGAATACTTGGGAATCAAACTGTCAAGCTATGAAAACGTGGAAGAAGGAGTATAAAAACAAGTGAACATGACGAAGAGAGCAGCAGGATGTCTCAACAATACAATCTGGAGAAACAAATACCTCACAACGGAAACGTTAAAACTAGGATATATAAATCAACAATAAGACCGATAATGACGTACACAGCGGAAACAAGAGCAGATACGGCGAAAACACAAAGATTATTGGAAACAGCAGAAATGAAAGACTTACGATAAATAACAAACCAAACTCTAAGAGACAGAGTAAGAAGTGAGGAAATACGAGCGAGATGTGGTTTAGAGAAAATAAACCTGTGGACCAAAAGAAGAAAAATAGAATGGAATCGACATATAGAATGAATGACAGAAAATAGAACAGTCGAATAGCAAGCGACAAATCGCCAAGTGTAAGATGATCAATGGGACGAGCGAGGAAAAGATGGTCAGACAACATCAATTGAGCCTAAAAACCGAAGTAAAACAGGCATGAGCCTATTAATAAAGTAGGAAGAAGAAGAAGAAGGATGGGAGGCCGAAAGCAGGTGGGTCTGCCTGGCAGGCAAACGGAGAAGAACTCCGAGGAGCAAAGCCCGTTGACAAAGCGGAAGAAGAGAGCTAGATGGCCGACGGCTCGTCGGTGTGAAAGGAACCCGAGACTGTCTGTTAGGAGAGAGTCATCGATCATTCGGGCAGCTTTCCTGTGAACATCATCGAGCATCATGTACAGTTATTAAGAACTGCAAAACTACGATGCTTTCGCGACTGAAAACTCATTTTTCTAACGGTAGCTAGGTGCAAACAAAGCGTGGTACATTCGGCTAAATTGAAACGCTGAAATTGAAGTGACGAGGGTTCAATTTGGGGTAAAAAATTGGTCGTCCTTGACCATCCGTAAGTCCCAGCACTGAATTGACATCGGATCTGGAACGATCATACTCAAATGACCCAGAAGGTGGGTTTTCATCCAGATCACGAATGCACAAGAACTTTATAACTTTTAACGGGTGATTTTTTAAGAGGTATAGGATTTGATTTTCAAAAAAAAAACACAAAAAATTTGAAAAAACGATTAAATCTTTATTTGAGTCGATAGAACGGTCGATATAATTTAATGTTTAAAGATTATTTCATGTAAATGTTGGCCGCGGCTCCGCTTTAGATGGCAAATGCACAAGGTCCAATTTTGGCACACTCTCTCCAACATATCGGCCGGTATCTCACGAATAAATTCTTCCAGTGCGTCAATCGTTGCTGGTTTATCCCTGTAGACATTAGCCTTGACATGGCCCCACAAGAAATAGTCCAACGGCGTTAAATCACACGATCTAGGCGGCCAATTGACGGCCCCCAAACGTGAGATAAACTGTTCACCGAACTCGCCTCTCAATAGGGCCATTGTTTCGTGTGCGGTGTGGCATGTGGCACCGTCTTGTTGAACTCACATGTCAGCCAAGTCCAGCTCTTCCATTTTGGGCAAAAAAAGTTTGTTTTCATCGCAAGGTAGCGCTCGCCATTCACAGTTACGTTCCGGCCATTGTCGTCTTTGATGATGCCACCGGCCCATAATCCACACCAAACAGTGATTTTTTCGGGATGCATTGGTAGCTCTTGCAATGCTCCTGGCTGGTCTTCACTCCAGATGCAGCAATATTGCTTGTTAAAGTACCCATTCAACCAGAAATGAGCTTCGTCGCTGAACACAATTTTTCGATAAAAATGTGGATCTTCCTCCAACTTTGCCAGCGCCCATTCACCAAATTGGAAACGTTGTGGAAGGTCGTGTGGCTTCAATTCTTGCACCAGCTGTATCTTATAAGGTTTTACATTCAAATCCTGTCGCAAAATTTTCCACGTACCTAGTGGAGTAACAGAGGCCCAATTGCTGCGAACGGCGGCGAATCGACATTTTCACTAACACTGGCGGATACAGCCGGAATATTTTCTTCAGTCCTAACTCTACGTCTGCGTGTTGGTGGTTTAATGTTCAATAATGTAAGCTGGATTCGAAATTTAGTCACAAGCTTCCGAATAGCTCCCTCAGTAGGCCTCTTAACCGAGCATGAATTTTGATAGTAAAATTCAATAATTTGCAAGAGTTGTTCGTTCGTAAGTCGATTCATGGTTAAATTATAGACCAAACTGAACAAGTTTGACAATGACACAAGACACGATTCACGCGTCATCTGTCAAAAACAGTGTTGCCAAAAAGATACTAGCAAAAAAATCACCCATTATAACTATGTTGAATTCTCGTCGATATCACAAAAATGTGACATTGTCATACTGTATGGGCTTCGGATTCGGTTTCCTCGACCCAATAAGCATAAAAATTACTCACTGAATATTAATTATCTATTTCTAATCCATATTCCAAGCTGAAATTCGTACGTGACGTGTGGGAAAAAACTGATGTCGAAAACGTTTCTTTTTTACATGACTTTTGTTTTTTCAAACGACCTTCAACAATATCGGCATTGCCGACAGGATATTTAAACAAGTATTATTGTTTTAACTTCTGGAATTTACTTCTGATTCTGAACAATTTTGATTATATGTATAAAGGAAACTGACCTTCACGCAGCAGTTATACGAGTACCATAATTCAGCTGCTCCTGTAGTCTTCAAATTCTTGAATTTTGACAATAATTATTTCCACGACAACATTCCTTTACAACTTGAAAGCTTCTTTACTATTTTACTTGTTGTAATTTACGGTTAAATTTAGCGTTTTCGCTTTAAAAATATTTTGAAAGAACTAATTCTTTTTCTGACTGACTAACGCCAAATATTTTTTTCTTTCAGGAAACAAGAGTCTGTGAAAGGATAGATGAAGTAGACTGTTCAAAATCTGAACAGTTTTATAGTTTAAATTTAGAATTATATGGTAATAGTCCACCCTCTAATTTAGAAGGTAAGTTAATTCTCATGCTCAGTATTGATAATAATGGTTATATAGACTGTTTTTTAATGCTCGGTTGAATTTGTATAAGGACCTTCAGTCGTCTATAAAGTCTGTTTCAACGATTTTCTAATTTGTGTGAGTGACAAAAAAGCTTTGCACAGTCAAGGGGTTAGTGTCTGGGTGACTTGGACGACCAAACTGTAAGGCTCCAACCATTGTGTAGACTCCAAGTTGCTCCTACAACTGATTGTAAAGGAATAATTGAATTGCTGGGAGATGTGAATAAAACCACAAACTAAGCCCCAAAAATAATAATCTTTGGTTCAGTTTTTAAGCCTGAAAGAAACTCACAAATAGCCCATTTTGATCAAAAGGATCAAAAAACCTAATTAAACTTTGTCTGGAGCGAATCTCTATCTTGATTAAAATAATCTTATAAGCAAACTTATACTGGGTTACATTCGTGATTATAAAAAATAAAGATGGAAAATGTCTCTTACAATTACAGTTTCGGATTTGTAGTTTCTCAGTATTCATTATATAAAGTACATAATTTAATCGAAATTGATTCAGGAATATAATTAAGTATAAGAGCTGCTAGTTTGTAATACCTTCCAAGGTTTCAAGGATAATAACACATTTAAATAACACTTGAAACGCTTTAGGGTTTATTTATTCAACTAGTTTAACTACAGGTTCATTCTGATACATTAAAAATAAGTGTTTTACAATGTTACAAAACTCATCTAGACTTAAGCGTAGCAAAATCATCAATTAAGTCTTCACAGTCTAACTTTATTGAAAAGTCTGCTTCTGTGTTAAGCAAAGCAAGATCGTTCAGTCTTTTCTCCGTCATTGTGGTGCGTAAATAATATTTAACTCATTGCAAACGACAATCGATGGTTCTCGGTGAGAGTTACTATCGGGAGTACACACACACACACATTATGAAGAGCAATATTCATTTATTCTATTTATTTATTTATTTAGCAACATCCAACAGCCATAGGCTATTACAGGATAGATAAACATGAAAATATAAAGAAATGCATGTTGTGGATGTATGTAGAGAAAGTTAAAACGCTGCAAAAAAAAAACTCAAAACAGAACTGGGAGGAAAAAAAAGCGTTCTAGCTTTACCCACCCAGCACTCAACAATCACACCGGCAAGCATTAACGAAAATAAGCATTAATGTCTCCCAAAGTCGCACAAAACGAAAATATATCTAAAACGCTATTAACTGAATTATAATTACGGCACATTATATATATAGGGGAAAACTTAAGTATGTCAGTCCTAGGCCTGGCTAAGTAAAAAGTTAAACTAGTTCGTGACGCTAATCTAGGAATTAAGATGACACTGGAGTCAATAATGCCATGGATGAGCTTGTGAATGAACTTAAGTGAATTCATTTTGCGTCTGCTCTCTAAATTATAGATTTTGTGTCTCGCCATCAACTCATTATGAGGAAAGCCAATAGCGGGATATATCCCGTCAGCTTTCTATGAGAGGTATTTTAAAAACTTTCTTTGAACGGACTCTAAGCGGTCAATATATATTTGATGATGAGGATACCATACCAGGGACGCATACTCAAGCTTAGACCTTACATAAGCATAGTACAGTATTTTCAGTGTAAAGGAGTTGTGGAAATCACCGGTATTTCTTACAATAAAACCATACGCCTTTGATGCAGCCACAACAGCATTTTCAATGTGATAGGAGAAGGAAAGTTTTCTGTCAAATGTGACTCCCAAGTCATTAATTGTACTAAGTCTGTCAAGTTTCCTGTCACCAATACTATATTCATACATCATTACCCCTGTTTTTAAAGTAAACGACAAAACGTGACACTCAGCAGCATTCAAAACAAGTCTGTTTTCACGACACCAGTTGTCAACCCTTACAATGTTGCATTGCAAGCGATGACAATCGTCAATGTTAGAGACTCTACAGAAAAGTTTCATATCGTCAGCATATATAAGAAAATCGACATCGATAACTTCAGAAATATCATTTATGAACATAATAAATAACAGAGGTCCCAAATTAGATCCTTGAGGAACACCGAACATTACAGGGTATTCGCTTGACTTATGTCCATTGCACGTAACATATTGTTTCCTATGACATAAATAAGATCTGAAAAATAGCAACAATGCATCTGAAAGACCAAATCTTATTGAGTAGAATGTTATGGTCTAAACTATCAAACGCTTTAGAGAAATCAGTATATATTACATCTGTTTGAAGTTGTCTATCGATTGATTCACAAACATATTGAGTAAGATGTAGCAAGTTAGTAACTGTGGACCTGCCCTTCATGAAACCGTATTGACTGACGGAGATAGACCTGCTTACATGAAAATATAGCACAGTTTGTATCACTATTTCGAATGTTTTAGCGAAATTACTGATAATTGTGATAGCCCGATAGTTTTCTACATAATTCCTCTCACCTTTTTTAAAAACAGGAGTTACCCTAGACAACTTCCAAATAGATGGAAAGTGGTTATTTTTCAGAGAGAGATTGAAAATGATCATGAGTGGATATGCTAAAATGGACGCACAATCTATCACAAAAAATGCAGGTATTTGATCAGGCCCTGCAGTCATTTTTGGCTTACCAAAAAAGTGATGATTCTGAAATTTTCGCGACCGTACTTTTGTTGCATCTCTTCACCTGCATTAGTGTCGCTAGGAAGTAGCTTACGCTTGCGATTGCATCCAACATCTCCTTCATATTCCTGTACAAAAGACAGTGTTTTTGGCTTTGTTCTCGAAATCGTCGAAGTTATCTCGCATTTCGCTAATACAATGTATCAGTACTTCATACAGTTCTACGACAATTTCCATACTTTTTTTACTTGTGGCGCTAATACGATCCAGTAAACATCCCCAAAACACAGTCATGACGGCCATATCCAAACGTCCCAGTTTCCGACGAATACCTCTTCTGTTGTGTATCATAATGTGCGTTAGGTAATCATTTACTTCTTATTCGCCTCATCTTTTATGATATGTATTGATGTTTCAGAAACCGCAGAGACTGAACAGCCTTTAATAATAAAATCAACGTCACCTACGACGACCACATCGACAACGACGACGACCAGCCGTCCGCAACCGAAGATCAAGACAACTCGACAACAATTTTTCACCACCATCGTTCCCACTACGACGCCAAAGAATGCACCTCCTGCTCGCCCACAGGTACATACTTTTTTTATAGGGCAGACAACTTTTCTTGTTTGTTGACCATTGTCAACACTGCCACTATCGTTATCTGTTCTCCAGCGACTTGGCAAACAATAGATGGCATGGATAGTTTAATTTAGAATGATATGGTAACAGTCCACCCTCCAATTCAGAAAGCAGATCACTCAAAACCTAAAACAAGAGCTTTGAACCATTACCCCGAAATGAGGATTGTGAGAGATGGTGAATGTGCACACCCGGAACAACGATTTTATTAAAAATGGTGAATGTACATACTGAAATATTGGTCTTGTTAAAAAGGTGAATGAACGCGTTATGACGGCACTGCCTAAATTATGTTCTTCAAGACCCTTGATTTCATTCTCCGTCCTTTCTGCCTGACTAATTTTTTGTTGCCTGTCCGATGTCCGTTGGCCTCTATACAGGGTGTTTCGCAAGACGTGTCTAAGAATGAAACATCATACAGAGGATCGCATTTTAAGGAGGGTCTTCTATGTAACATTTTTCCCTCAAGGGCTTCATAAAAAAATACGTCGTGAGATAACCGCATGGTTTAATAAACATTTTAGTCAACGATGGATTGGTAGAAACGGACCCGTGCATGGGCCTACGAGGTCTCCTGATTTGAACTCTCTGGATTATTTTTTTTGGAGCGCTTTCAAGCAACTAATGTATGCTAAACAAATTAATACTGTTGATCAGTTACAAGAACGAATAGATAAAATTTTGCGTAAATTTATTTTTCTTTATAAAAAAAGATGCCACACTTGTATTCGTCGGAATGATGGTCTTTTTGAACATTTATTAAAATAAAGCTTTGATTATATAATTTTTTTACGAAAACAATGCACTCTAAAAAAACACAACAGTAACTATTTGTAGCAAATTGAATATAGAATTCAAAAAATTGCGTTTTGAGAAAGAAAACAGTGGCGTTCTATTTTTATTTTAAAAAATAAGGTCACTAATCCCCCTGTGTCTCCGCCACTGACACACGTTAACTTTAAGTAAATACTTTTGAATATGGAGAATTCTATGGTGAATCCACATATCCTAAGTGACATATAAATCCGAACACCCAGTTTAAATGGTTTTATTTTAATAAAATTTTGTATAAGTACTTAATGAAGCATAATAAGTAAATGATAAAAATTTCAAAATGATTGCACTGCTTTAAAGCCCTTTGACCTTTAATAATGTGCGGATGCACCCTGATGTGCTACGCATTCTATAACGCGCCTAGGCATGCTTCTGATCAGGTGGTCAATGTCCTCCTGTGGTATCTCATTCCAGGCAACCACCAACTCCTCTCGAAGTGCTTCTAGAGTCTGAGGAGGACGTTGCAAATTGAGCAATCTCCTACCCATCATATCCCACACGTGCTCAATTGGGGATAAGTCGGGAGATCTTGGTGGCCATGGTAACAATGTGACATGAAAGAAGTCTATTGTGACTCTTGCAACATGTGGCCGGGCATTATCTTGTTGGAAAGTTGGATCTGCCAGGGTGTCAAGATAGGGTAAAAGATGGGGTTCTAGAACTTCGTGAATATAACGCTGCGCGTTCATGTTACCTCTGATGAAGATTAAAGGTGACCTGGAACCATAAGCTATAGCACCCCAAACCATAACTCCAACAGTGTGATGAACATGTCTTTCAACAAAAACTGCAGATTCCTCCTTTCACCACGTCGCCTTCTAACCCTGGCACGACCATCGTGCATGCCTAAACAAAATCGAGACTCGTCACTAAAGACAATACTGTTCCATTCCTGATCCCAGAGTGACCGTTTTCTGCACCACTCAAGGCGATTACGTCGGTGTTCTCGAGTTAAAGGGAGGACCCAGTGTGGCCGGTATGAAAACAAGCCAAAACTTCTCATTCGTCGGTTAACACTTCGCATGCCAATAGGTCTTCCGTGTTCTGCAAACCATTCAATTGCAATGGACCTGGTAGTGGAGACACGGTCCCTTAAGGCCAATAATCTTAGGCGGCGATCTTCACGGTCTGTTGTTCTACAGCGGCGTCCAATGCCCCTTGCTCTTTGCGTACGGCCTTCTCGAAGCCATGCCTGACAACACCTAACCACAGTGTCTACACTTCTTTGCACTCTAACTGCAATTGCCCGAAAAGAAAGTCCAGCTTCCCGAAGTCCCACTATACGGCCCCTATCAAACTCACTAAGTTGACGAAATCGTACAGGTCTCCGTACTCTAGGCATCGTAACCGATCGTAAAGGATGTCAAGAACCAAAATCCGCTAACGATTCTTTACTGCGGCTGAAATATTCATTTTTAGAGCGTTAGTGAATTAAAAAAAAGCAGTATAAAAACCAGAATGTCCAACTGATAAGGCTGAAAATTTTTTCACTTGTTATTTACAGTAAGATAAATACATTCACCAACTTTTATTAAAATAAAACCATTTAAACTGGGTGTTCGGATTTATATGTCACTTAGTATATCAAATTTTAGTTCATTCATTTAGCGGTTTTGAAGATATTAAAAAAATTTTCTTGTATTTTTAAACTTCAACACCCCATATATTTTTAATGAAGCCTTCTAGGTAAAAACGGAGGAGACCCCCCTTAAAATGCGGTCCTGTGTATGATGTTTCATTGTTGGTCACGACTTGTGAATCACCCTCTATAACTCAAGTTTGATGAAATTTGAACCGAACCTAAGGACGAAGATTTTGGTACGAGTACTAAAAAGGAAGAGAGCGTTGGATGCTTCTTGCTGCTCTCTTTCTTTTAGGTACCAGCGAAGCTATGAGCTCAGACGAAAGATTTCAAAAGCTCCTAAACTGTTTTTCGATGTTTTCCGAGTTTCGGTTTAGGGCGTAGTTATTCGATTTTCTGGTTACTTGTCAACGTATCCAAAATGTCTTTAGGGTACTCGAGAATTTTGAAATCAGACATGGTTTCATTATAGCACACATTTTTACACAACTCAAGCAATTTAAAATTTCCTTCACTCAATTCATCAACGTCGTCATTTCCAGGTGATCACAACCCACCACTTCCCCGTGCTCAACCCATCACCGGACATCCGTTTCAATCCCGAAGAGATCAACATCAGCCTGAGACCTGGTGGCGCCCCACCGGATATCCGGCAAAAAGAGACCACGCAGCGAAATGTGGTGAACTACGATAGACCGACGCCTAGTGATGTTAACTACGGGTTCACTTTTAGGCAGACCGAGGAGGTGAGGGAGGATTACACCGAGGCACCCGATTACCATTCGGGATATCGGTTTAGGGAGCATCGGCCTGGACAGGGGTATCTAGGTAAGTCTTCCCTTCTCATCTTCCCATGTATCGTGGAAAGGTTACACTGCTGTTATTATTCAACTCCGCAATTTTGTGAATGTTGAAAATCTCAAGCTGTGCTACTTTCCGCACGTCCATTCAGCCCTTAGCTACTGCCTAGTTTGTTGTAGGAACTGCTTCTCGCTTCTCAAATATTGTTCGAAATATTTAAAAAAACTATTTTAGAAAGTAAATTTAAACACCCTGGATTTCGGAGGCTACGCATTTTTCGACCCATGTTTATATAGACTTTATGCGTTAGTTTTAAAAGTTCTATCGAATCTTAAAGTTATGCAACAATAAACTGAAATACCCTGTATATACAGCCCTGAGGCGCTCCATTCCGTATCAACAGTTCATTTGAGAGATTCTCATTACAAGAAACATACCTACCGATATCTATCACTAAAGTAGCTCTTTGTAAGTTTTATGCAATTTACATCGAAGCATTAAATTTTCAAGTGATAAACAGTCAAAAGCTTTGGTCAAGTCGTAGAAAACTGCATTCGTTATTTCACCTTCCTCAAAGCACCGATAACATATTCTGCGAGATCCGTTATTGCAATGGTTGTAGATTTTTTCGATCGAAATCCATGTTGATTGCCAGAAAACAATTATTTCAATTTCCGATAATAACACACTGTACGCTACCTACATCTTCCAGACCACAACCCAACCCGTTCGCGCCAACAGCAGCAGCAACAACAACACTTCCCAGTAGTAACGACCTTCCGTAGTGCAGAACACCACAAGACATCTCCGCCTTCACCTGCTGCAGCTGCAGGATCGTTCTACCTGCAGCAATCGCTGAAGCCTCCACAGCCGCACCATAGAAGTCAGTACGAAAGACCTAAGCCGCAGTCGCAGCCACAACAAGGCCTGCAAAGATTGCAGCTGCCTGTGCCTTTGCCGCCGCAGGTGTCGCAGTTCACTTTTAGCACGCCAGCGCCCTTCCAGCATACTGACACTAAGAGGTAAGATTAGCACCAAAGGTAACCACAACAGAGAAGTTTAATTACTTCTATGAGATGATACTTAGGATTTTGGAAAATGTGGCAGATCGAGACTGAAAGGAAATTGCGTACTTATCTTAGAGATTTCGATGGTAGATTAGACAAGAAGCCTTTCCATTCAAAATTATGGTGAATGCATACGCTTTCCAGCGAGCACTTCCACCACAATTTTGAGTTAGAGGTTTCTGGTCTGATCTACCATCGAGATCTCTTTAGTAAATACGACCTCTTGAAACTTCATCTTCCATTGTGTTGAGCAAGGTTGTATCTAGAAAGGCCTGTTAGTATCTTTGTTGGCGTCAAGGATCGGAGCCAATGAAACCCTATAAAAGACAAGACTGACTTAAGTTTCATAATAAGTAGGTATACAGGGTGTCGCAGAAGCCAACGTCAAGCTGGGAACGGGGGACATCAGAAAAAATTCCAAGTCTAACTTTTCAAGCTATAGGCTTTAAAAGAGATCGGAAAAGTCGGCTAAATCTACATCCTGTGATAATCTTTTATTTCTTCTAATAAAAGTGTACTATCTGTCTTGCTGTCACTACGTAGAATGACACTGTCCGACACTCCGTCTAAGACAAAAATGAAATTTGTAGCAGTGACAACTAAAATATCATCACAGGGAGGATATATAAAACCTTTTGAAAATCGGCATCAAATTCATAAAAAATACAATCAATGACAAATCGTGCGATATGATGTCACTGGGAAGAGCATCAAAAATGCGGCGTTTAAGTAAATGTCATTGCCATTGTAGATTTAAATATTTGATAAAAAAATACAAATATTTTCATGAATGAAATAGGTGTTTACGGTATTATATTAACATATAAATCATCGACAGAATATAAAAAAAAGAACATATATATTCCTATTTAGATGCAATCTATGCAGTGAACGAATCTTTGGGCACACAACGCAAATATTTGCCATGAAACTGAGTTAGAGGTTTCGTTCAGATCCACGGTTTTGCATTTTGGAAAATTTTCTCGCAAAACATTTCACCTCCTATTGTTACAATTGAATGAACTAAGAAAAATTTGGAGCGTTGAATTCGAGTAGATCCATCAAAAACCCGATAAGCTGACATCGGATTTGATAAACAAAAATTTACATCTTCATCTTCCATTGTGTCAAGCAAATGGAACTCTGTTCACATAGACAGTTTGGGGCGCCAAATGAAAATATGGGTATCAAAAAATCATTATTGCCGTATAGCCGAGATGGCGGTACAAGATGTGTAATCATCATTAGCTTTGTCGTCAAATTTATTTATTTATTTACTAATAAATTTACGTTAGATATGGAATCTTCGTACGCGATTTACTCATGTTTTCGTTCAGATCACTGAACATTTTTGAAATTTTGGTCATAGAAAATCTGGAAAAAATATAAAGGGAAAAATTCCCATTATCGTTAGCAGTGAATGACATTTTATATCAAAAGTAAAAAAAATATGGTGAAATATCGTTCAAGGCTCCACCTAGACAGATTTAGTCTGAAAGGAAATTGCGTATTCATCTTAGAGATTTCGATGGTAGATTAGACAAGAAGCCTTTCCATTCAAAATTATGGTGGATGCACACATACTTTCAAGCGAGCACTTCCACCATAATTTTCAGTTAAAGGTTTCTGGTCTGATGTACCATCGAGATCTCTTTAGTAAATACGGACCTTTTAAAACTTGGATATGTCACACCACATAGATACTATCAGTTTGTAGGACTATAGGATGGGTTTAAAAGACTATCAGAAAACCGCAGCGATCCAAAGATTGTTTGGTATATATGGAGATGCTTAAGATTCACCAACAGAGCCAACCTCAGAGGTTGCTGCAGGGACGACAGCAAGATACTAAGTTACTCATGATACTAAAGAGATCTATTATCAGCTAGATAATACCAGTTCGTCTCTGCAAGTAAGAAAATCAGCCCAACTGTAAACGAGCTCAACTTGGAGGCACAGTTGATCTATCGAGAGACAAATCTCCTCCTGTGGAAATATACTTAACTTCCTATAATCCAACAACAGAAGCAACTCATGTTACCAAAAAGAATCAGTTGAAAAAAGAACCTACAATCGACGTCTTTGGAGAACTGTATCTCAAATATCGAGACTAATATCAGGAGTGTAGTTATAGATTAAGAAAAAATACATAGTTGCTGAAAATAGAATCTGCGGAACAAAGTACAACACTAAAGATAGACGTAACTATGAGTACTGTGTAGGATGAAACCATAACAGCGAAGTTTAAGTACTTCTATAAGACGATACCTAGGATTTTGGAAAATGTGGCAGATGATAGAAAAACTACTTTTTTTGGTGAAATGAATACTACTCCTGTATCTACTGTTAGCAGTGAATGGAATCCTACATCAACAGTAAAAGAAATTAAGTAGAATGTCGCTCAAGGCTTCACCTAGCCAGATCTAGACTGAAAGGAAGTGAGTATTCATCTTAGAGATTTCGATCGTAGATTAGACAAAAACCCTGTCCATTCAAAATCATGGTGAATGCACACCAATTTATTTATTTATTTACTAATAAATTTAGGTTAGATATGGAATCTTCGTACGCGATTTACTCATGTTTTCGTCCAGATCACTGAACATTTTTGAAATTTTGGTCATAGAAAATCTGGAAAAAATATAAAGGGAAAAATTCCCATTTTCGTTAGCAGTGAATGACATTTTATATCAAAAGTAAAAGAAAATATGGTGAAATATCGTTCAAGGCTTCCCCTAGACAGATTTAGTCTGAAAGGAAATTGCGTATTCATCTTAGAGATTTCGATGGTAGATTAGACAAGAAGCCTTTCCATTCAAAATTATGGTGGATGCACACAAACTTCCAAGCGACCACTTCCACCATAATTTTGAGTTAGAGGTTTCTGGTCTGATGTACCATCGAGATCTCTTTAATAAATACCCATCTTTTGATACTTGGGTATGTCACACCACATAGAAACTATCAGTTTGTAGGACTATAGGATGGGTTTAAAAGACTATCAGAAAACCGCAGCGATCCAAAGATTGTTTGTATAAATGGGGATGCTTAAGATTCACCAACAGAGCCAACCTCAGAGGTTGCTGCAGGGACGACAGCAAGATACTAAGATACTCATGATACTAAAGAGATCCATAATCAGCTAGATAGTACCAGTTCGTCTCTGCAAGTAAGAAAATCAGCCCAACTGTAAACGAGCTCAACTTGGAGGCATAGTTGATCTATCGAGAGACAAATCTCCTCCTCTGGAAATATACTTAACTTCCTATAATCCAACAACACAAGCATCTCATGTTACCAAAAAGAATCAGTTGAAAAAAGAACCTACAGTATATTCAGATAAGAGATAGACCGGACATAAACAAGACCACGTGATCATCGAACGCTGTAACATTCGGCAGGGACGTATTAAGAGTCACGCAGTACATATTTTAGATAGTTGATTCTGCTTTGCATAACTTTGTAGTAAATTAGCACAATTCGATGTTTATACGATTGGTGATGGATATAGGATCATGTGGGGGTGGGGTAAGAAATATATAACGATGTAAATATACATAAGGGTTTCAAAATTTTCGCTTCGATTTCCAGCTTCGGATGCCGCCTGATGTTTGGTGAAATACAGTCGAATATAATCTCAAAATGGCGTTTAAAATAGCCTAAATTAAAAATAATCGTATATCTCTTAAAATTGCTTTTAGAATATTGATTAGTATATTTTTTGATTTCTAGGTAAATATGTAACCAAATTAAAACGTTCAAAACGTAAAAAAATGTGCATGGTTGAACATTGTCAGAAAGTAGATTCTTGAATAGGTTTTGCCAAAATGGGTTCAAATATGTCAATAATTAATTAAAAAATACAGTAGCTTTATAATTACTTATAACTTACCGAATTTGATGAATTTTATTGGAAAGATGAGCTTGATGAGCTTTCATCATCGCTACTGCCTGAAGCACCAACGTCAATAATGAATGGCTCGACTTGTTCCTCTAAAATATTGTCCAGTTCCCACATTCTCTTTTCAACTTTGTCATTCACGTGCTTAATACAGTTTTCCCATTTTTGCGCTGTTATTAATTTTAGTGCTTCTTTGAAAAGTCCTTTGAGGTCACAAAATTTAAAAGTTGTATTGTGCTTAGCTATGTAATTTTTAACCTCTGCCCATATGAGCTCAATGGGATTGAGCTCGCAATGGTATGGAGGTAAACGGAGCACAGTTTTATTTTGACTTGCTGCCATTTCGTCAATGGCGTATTTTTGATATTCCGCCTTGTGATCCTTGACAATTCTTAATAATTGTACTTTCAGCATTGCTTCTTCAAAGTTGATATTTTTCGAGCGGAGCCAATTTTGAACATCAACTTTCCTTGAAGCCGTTGTTGGGACCTTCTCCATTCTTCGAGAATGATAAGGCGCATTATCCAACACAATTACTGCGTTTTCCTCTAAGTTCGGTAAAATTTTTGAAAACCACTGTTCAAACGATTCGCCATTCATTTCCTCGTGGTAATCTCCAGTTTTCTTAGACTCAAAGCACCACAGATCGTCAACAACAAATCCATCCTCACTGCCAATATGGCAGATAATGAGCCTTTTCCCTTTACCTGGAAATCGAAGTACTAACTGGTGTAGATTTATTTCAATAAGCGAATCTTTTTCAAATGTTTTCATCACATTCAGCGAAAAAACATTGAGACATGAGTATCAGATTGCTATAATTGGGATTATTTAGTCATATTGAAAGAAAGAATATTGAACGTCGTATGATTACTCAGCGCTTCACAATTTAATTTAAAGTTATAAACCTTTAAAAAATGAATGATCAGGAACCTGAAATACGCGCAAATATTAATATTAACAAATTATAACTTTATAAAGCTTAAAGTATGAATTAAAATGATTAGAAATATTAGGAACGGTACACAATATAAAACTTAGTAACTTTTTTTAAGTTTATAATATTCGACATATTTTAAGATTATATTAAAAAATTATTGAAATATCGAAAACACATAAAGACATGGCTTAAAAAAGTTCTAACAAATGAAAATGACAATAAAACATCCACGCATTTTATCGAAAGTTATAAAAGTTTTGTTACTTGTAATATGTTTTATCTGCCCCCTGGAATTAATGTTTAGAACCTTGTTCCCAAGGTTTGAAAAACATCCGATTGTTGTCTATTACTCGTATTTACCTGCTGGATTTTTTAATCCGGTGGACAGTCCATCTAGAAAGGCCCTCCTGGATGAAGTTAAAGAATCATCAACCCATACTTTACTTGTAGTGTGTCCTGCGTTTACCCACGTTTCATCAAGGTAATAAATCTTCCTGTTTTGATTTCTATATTTCCCAATTTTTGTTGAATAATCCCTCCTCCATAGCACAATTTCTTCTCTATCCAGTAGTAAACTATTACGACCCCGTTTTTTTCATTTGAAATTTAAATGCTTCAGTAACGCATGGAAAGTTGATCGTTTGAAATTTGGCAACGTTGTATCTCCATTTACCTCCTGCAGTACTTTATCTATAGTAGGTATTTCATTCCTAAAGAAGATTCATGCACTTTCCTCCTAATCGCATGCTTATCAGCTCCATCCAATGATTTAACAATACTTTTGCGATGTTTACTGGTCATTGGCTCAGAAAAGGTGTGATTTTTTTGTATTGTCTTAACACATTAAACACTGATGCGCGACACACCCCAACTTTGTGAGAAACCTTCACAGCAATTTCTTTGATGGTTGATGCCTCGTTCTCCTCGCGCTCGATCATATATATATATATATATATATATATATATATATATATATATATATATATATTCAAAATGACCTCTTTCATTTCTGCACTCAGGTGTCTTTTTTTAGAGCGTTTCCTAGGTGGACTACAGGAGTTTACAACTTCATCGGCAGTATCTGTACTACTGGGCATTTTACGCAAGCAGTTGATAACAATAACAATCAATAACAAGGTATAACAATAACAACGACAAACTCAACAACTTAATAAGATAACAAACGAAAACGTCCAAAGAAATATCAAATTGCAATGATGCACACGACATACGTAAGACGTCTGAACCTGAATGTGACTCTGCCTTGATACGACTGCTCTGCCGCTCGGCATAGGCATTTAATTGCGAATTGACCAATGAGGGCTCCTGTTTTACGTCGAGACGGCGGCGTTAGCGTGAAAATCACCCGAACCTTTTGTTTACATCCGGTCTATCTCTTATCTGAATATACTGTACAATGGACGTCTTTGGAGAAGTGTATCTCAAATATCGAGACTAATATCAGGAGCGTAGCTATAGATAAAGAAAAAATACATAGAGCTTTAGGAGAACTAAATGAAGGTGAAACAGGTCAAAGTGCTGGTGAAGTGAGATATATCTTTAGTGTGAATTTGTTGCCGAAAATACAGTCTGCGTAACAAAGTACGACAAGACAAAATGTGGAAGTAACTACGAGTACTGTGTTGGGTGAAACTACAACAGAGAAATTTAAGTACTTCTATGAGATGATACCTAAGATTTTGGAAAATGTAGCAGATTATGGAAAGACTACGTATTTTGATGAACTGACTAGGTACTACTCCTGTAGCTACTGTAAATACCAGTGAAAAAATTCGCATTTTCGTTAGCAGTGAATGGAATCCTACATCAAGAGTAAAAGAAATTAGGTAGAATATCGCTCAAGACTTAACCTAGCCAGATCTAGACTGAAAGGAAATTGCGTCTTCATCTTAGAGATTTCGATGGTAGATTAGACAAGAACCCTGTCCATTCAAAATTATGGTGAATGCACACACCTGCAAGCGTGCACTTTCGCCATAATTTTGAGTTAGAGGTTTCGGGGTTTCTGGTCTGATGTATTATCGAGATCTCTTCAGTAAATGCGGGCCTTTAGTAACTTCATCTTAATCTTCCATTGTGTCGAGCAAATGGAACTTCGCATAGCTAATTTTGGCGGCAAATGTAAATATGCCCATCAAAAAACGACGATTGGCGTATAACCGAGTTGGAGGTAAAAAATGTGTTGGTTCAAACCAACATCATCATTAGTCTTGTCGTCATTTATTCACTAATAAATTTGCTTTAGATATGGAATCTTCGTTCGCGATTTACTCATGTTTTCGTCCATATCACTGAACATTTTTGAAATTTTTGTCATAGAAAATCTGGAAAAAATGTAGAGGGCAAAATTCCCATTTTCGTTAGCAGTAAATGAAATTCTACATCAAAAGTAAAAGAAATTAGGTAAACTCTCGCTCAGCGCTTCACCTAACCAGATCTAGTCTGAAAGGAAATTGCGTATTATCTTAGAGATTTCGATGGTAGATTAGACAAGAAGCCTTTCCATTCAAAATTATGGGGAATTCACACTCTTGCAAGCATGCACTTTCACCATAATTTTTAGTTAGATGTTTCTGGTCTGATGTAACATCGAGATCTCTTTAGTAAATACGGACCTTTTGAAACTTGGGTATGTCACACCACATAGATGCTATAAGCTGTTAAAAGCAGATGAGTCGCTGAATACTAATATGAAAACCGTGTGAAGTGAAGGAGGTCCAACCAAGTTTGAAATAGAAAATAAATCAATCTGAATCTTGTAACAATACACAACTTTTTCCTCTTTATCTTCAGGTACACCAAGGATCATATTCCACCACCACGAATAGTTATCAGTGCTAGCGCGAGCGTCAGCGACGACACAGGTAGAAGATTAAACTACTCCTTGGGTACAATTGGAACATCCCAACTCCTGAATGATCCTTCCAACAGCTACGAGGAATACAAGGTATTACATCACTATATCACTGAAATCTATCAGTAGTAGTTTTTTTCCTAACATTGCTCTTTTGCCGCGAGAAGTTTTTCAAATGTTTTTCACAAGTTTTGTATGGCAAATTATCTAACATCTTATCCTTATTTTCAGGATGAAGAAGAAAGGCTTGAGCGCTTTTATCACGATGTGCAAAAAGTCAAACATTCCAGACGGAAAAGAAGCACAGACCAATCGGTTAAACACTCCGACATTATCAAGAACGACCAGCAAGCCGTGCAAGTCCTAAAGTTTCTCTTTGATTGGTACAGGAACGAGAAAACCAACCCGGCTAGGCAATCCACCACACCAGTGTCCTCCCCGTTGGATATCTCCACAATCCAGCTCATCAATGGAGAATTGGCGTCTACCACTGAAGACAGCAGTATTGAAATACCAGACAGCTTCGAAGACAGTGACCTGTTCAACATCAAGAGCAAGTATAGCATCATCGGAAGAGCCCTGGTTCCTCCTGAAAAAGATACGAAAGACAAGCTAAAACCTAAGGATGATGCGAATCAACCAAAGAGAAACGATGAGTTATATCTACACGACCACGGTACACTTCCACAAGAAAAGGACATCAAGATTAAACCCAGAAGTAAGGACGAGCTATTTAAATATGAAGATCCACCTAAAAGCAAACAAAAAACGAAAGACGAACTATATCAACATGAACATGACTATGTTGACGACAACTATGAGCCTGTTGCGTATCAAGAGAAGAAGGAACAAACTGAAGATAACGAAAAAGATAAAAAGTCAGACAAAGAAATTGTTCATGAACTTGTAACCAATAACGAAAATCAGAAAAACCATTCAGTTCTGTTGGATTATGTTGACGATAATATTGAACCTATATATTATAGAGAGAGACAGGATGATAATATGACAGAAAAATCAAAACATCCTAGCAAAAAGGATACAGTCGATGCTTCAAGCCACTTTGTGTCTACCACCTATTCGGTGTTAGATGATACTTATTACAAACATAGCCTAAAGGAAAACGAAGATGGAAAATTAAAAGAAACAATGCTAGAGCCGTCTAATACAAATGAGTCTACATTAGATAAACTATACTACATATCAAATGATACGCAAGAACTCAGTACAAAGTATCCTTTAAGTCAGTATGAATCTAGTACTCACACAGTACCGCACCAAGAGATAGAGCAAGGATCAACACCAGTACAAGAAACAGCAGTCGACCCAGCCAGTCACTATGAATCTAGCACCTATTCTGCTTTGGACAGACTGTTTTATCTGCATAGACAAAACGAGGAGAAACCAGAACAAACCAAGAAAGATATATCAGAAAATGATTGGACTCACTATGAATCAAGTACACGTTCAACTTTGGAACAGTTGCTAGCTGTGAATCTTCAAAACAAATACGACGAAAATTCTCAAACAACGACCACAGAGTCAGTGCCAAGTACCAACTTCAACATAGTGACTGAAGAAACTACGATTCCTGTAACAGATCCTCAAACCATTGAAAACGCTAGTCAAAACTCGTCAGTTGATGATAGCATAAGCAGTAACTTCATCAATCGAAATTCAAACTTGAGTCAAATAACCATCAGCGACACCAGTTCGTCTTCAACTTCTACTGAAAAACCGGCTCTGGTCCTACCTAAGAGAAACCAAAGACGAGGTAGAAGAAGATATCACACAAACGAGAAAAATAACAAAGATGTGGAATTTAAGAATCTTCTGATTGAAAAACTTATTGAAAGACCGTACAGAGCGAAAGACGACTACGATTACTTGAGAACAGTATCGAATGTCTACAGTACAACCTTGAGAACAGAAGATAGTCTCCAAGACGACGAGAAACAACCAACTGTGCTTCCAACCACAGAAGATACTGTTACCGCAACTAGTGAGGCAAATACGCTGAACGAATTGTTTGATCCCAATTCTTCAAATACTGTTACTACTTCTCCTAGCACCTCAACTACTACAGAAACTACATCTACCTCAACTACTGAAACACCTGTCTCACATTCTTCATCTGTAACACCGACTTTGACTTCAATCATAACCGAAGCTCCTCGAACAAAAAGTAGTAGAAGAAGAGGAAGGCATAGATTTACTATTACCGAAGCGTCTACCACTCCAAGAAATAAGAGGAGACGAAGACCAACAACATTAGAACCAAGAGCTACTACGGAAGCCTCATCAACTACACAGTCGTTGGAACAAGCCAGACATGAAAGTGGGGAGACTGAACGTCCAGGTGGTATAAGCTTCGCAGCGATCCAAAGGTTGTTTGATATAAATGGAGATGCTCAAGATTCACCAATAGAGCCAGCCTCAGAGGTTGCTGCAAGCACAACAGAAAGATACCAAGACCTAGGTAGTACCAGTTCGTCTATTGCAAGTAACCAAATCAGCCCAACTGTGAACGAGCTCAACTTAGAGGCACTTGGTACGCCCAACTTCCCAGTCACTGAATCCACGGTTGATCTATCTAAAGACAAGGCTCCTCCTGTGGAAATATACTTAACGTCCTTCAATCCAACCACAGAAGCAACTCATGTTACCAAAAAGAAACAGTTGAGAGAAGAACCTACAACTCCTTCCACAGAATGGACGTCTTTGGAGAAGTTCATCTCAAATATCGAGACTAACACCAGGAGTGTCGCTACAGATAAAGAAAAAATACATAGAGCTTTAGGAGAGCTAAATGAGGGTGAAACAGGTCAGAGTGCTGGTGAAGTGAGAGATGTCTTTAGTGTGAATTTGTTACCGAAAGTAGAATCTGCGGAACAAAGTACGACAACACCAAATGTAGAAGTAACTACGAGTACTGTGTTGTACGAAACCACAACAGAGAAGTTTAAGTACTTCTATGAGATGATCCCTAGGATTTTGGAAAATGTGGCAGATGATAGGAAGACTACGTATTTTGGTGAAATGAGTACTACGCCTGAAGCTGCTGTAAGTAGTACTGAAAGCAATATTAAGCACGATATTGTTGAAACTACTACTGAGAATGAACATGTACAAATTGGTGATACTACAACAGCAAGTGTTAACAACTATACCGATTCCGAAGCTTCGAGTCAAAAAGATGCATCTCAAGAAGGTGGTCATAAGATCATTCTAGGTATCATTATGGCAAGTGCTGAACCAGATTCAACGACTCCAGACGCAGAAAATACAACTTCAACTTACTATGAAGAAACCACAACTCCTACAGAAGCTCCAATGACAAGAATAGATACTAGTACTACGCAAAAACCATACATTGTCGACTTAGATACTTCTACTGTTCCACCGACTCCTCGTATAGTGGTTCAGTTAGGTACCACTCACGATGACAGCAAACCTAGTGATACCTTTTTCAAAATGGACAATTTCTGGGAGCATCTGCACACTCCTGTAGATTTCTCGCCTCATAGTTCTACGTACGCTGATCGGTTTGGCCATAATCACTTGGACCAGAATGCTAAGGCGTCATTTCCAACAGGCAAGGTAAGCATTCAATATGATTGTTGCAATCATCTCACACTAACCACCATTCTCTGATCCATGATGGATACTTTTTACCTTCTATGCCAAAACTGGAAGTATTGTAATTGCGAATATTCATCATCGAAATGCCAACAGATATTAACACTTTAACTACTATGTGTACAAAAAATGATACACATCTAACTTTTATGGATAAACTATGTGCCCATATGTGGTCACAGGCATGGGCTAGGTTTGATCCGTTATGTACGTTATGTGGTCACGCTTATCATTGAAATGAATGCATGTTCTATATAGTATAGTTTATGACGAAAGATTGGCCAAATAGTTTTACCCTTAATTCATAGATGGAAGCACCAAGCTGTATAGTAATTTAGTCGTGACGTGTACGTATTGTTTACACGTTTTGGTCGTATGTCGTAGTTGTTTCTTCTGCTCATCGTGCTCGGTTGCGTTCTTGAATGCAAAATGGGTGATAGGGCTTTAACCGATAAGGAGTTTTAGGGAATAATTAATAATATGAGCGATTGTGAATACGAATCGGACGTCGATGACTCAGTGGGTGATCCAGACTTCGAGAATTTCAGTTCATCAGAAAGTACCGATAGTGAATTCGATGCTGGCACTGCAAGAAAAAGAAAGAAGCTAGAAATTTGTGTGGAAGCAAATGCAAATGTCGGGGCTATAGACACTCCTGTTGACAGTGAAGTGAATTTGTCTGAAAGCAGCGAGAGTAGCTGAGATGAGTGCAGCCCCAACAGAGATGTAAGTGGATCACATGAAGTTCGAGTTATCTGGAACGATTGTTCAGGTAAAATAAAGTAAATTAGGATTTATTGCGACGCTACAAAGTATTTTTCTCTTCAGGAAATTTGAAGGATCATCCGTTCAATGCCAACCCAGGATTCTCTGCAGAGTTTTTTGCGAAAAGAAGCGGAGATGAGCCTTTAGACTTTTATAAGCTTTTCTTGGCCGATATCATACCTATGATAGTTCAAGAAACAAACCGCTATGCGACGCAAAAAATTATATCATGCATAGCAAATGAAACTATCCAAAAAAATTCACTATTAACTCACTGGAAAGATACTAATGAGTCTGAAATAGTAGCATTCATACGAATGCTAATTTGGATGGGACTAGACAAAAAGCCGACACTGAAAGATTACTTTTCGCGCAATATACTATACAAAAATGATTTGGGAAAATACATTGGAATGTCAAGAATGCGGTTTGAATTGCTTCTTTCAAATTTGCATTTTTCAGATAATGAGACAACAGATCGTACGAATCGCATATACAAAATTCAACCATTAGCAGACGGTCTCATTACTAATTCTCAAGCTGCATGTATTCCCAAAAAAGACGTATGTATTGACGAAACAATGATTCCATTCAGAGGCCGGCTTAGCTTTCGTCAATACATACCGGGTAAACGACATAAATACGGAGTAAAAATTTTCAAACTGTGTGCGGAGAAAGGTTATACATACAACTTAAAAGTATATTCAGGCAAGGAGGACAACCCGACTTCACAGTCAGTTGCTAGTCGCGTAGTTCTCGAACTTATGGAGCCTCTCTTAGATTGCGGATGTCTACTATGCACAGACAACTTTTATACGTATACTAGCGTTAGCCTCGCACACGAACTTTTGGATAGAAAGACACACCTTATTGGGACTTTGAGAAAAAATAGGAAACTTAATCCAAAGCCAATTACAGATGCAAAACTGGAAAAAGGGGACTTGATTGTACGTGAGAGTAATACCCATGTGATAGTGGGAAAATGGAGAGACAAAAGAGAGGTCTTATTTTTGACGACCGAAGCAGTGCCTGAAATGACTGACGTACAAACAAAACGAGGTGTTGTAAAAAAACCATCTACTATTGCAAAGTATAATAGTATCAAGTCTTTTATAGATGTGTCTGACCAAAAGGCTTCCTACTCGACTACTGTTCGACGCGGAATAAAATGGTATAGAAAGGTGGCCATAGAAATACTCATAAATACTGCAGTTGTGAATGCTCACATAGCATATCAATTTTTTACTAAAAAAACTATAAATATAACCAAGTTCAGGGAGGAGCTTGTAAACAAACTTTTCAATGAGAGGCATAATATTATAGATATTCCATCTGAAGGGATCTCTAGGAATCACAAAATCATCGAGATAACATCAAGGGGTAGATGTACCAGATGTTACAAAGTTAATAGTGAAAGAAATGGTCGAGCCTATGAAATGGCAAACACTCCTAGGATTAAAATGCATTGTCAGGGGTGTGAACACAAATTTTTATGAATGAAGTGCTTTTTCGACACTCACAACTGCAGTTTACGTAAATGAGAAATGTGGTCATGCATGATATACATACTTTAAGGTGATCAAGCTGTATTTTCTTTTTATATAGACTGTGTGTACTGTACCTGGACACAGTCAAAAAAATATTTTTTTGTGGAAAAACTTGTTGTTTTCATTCTGTTTGTATACTTAAATATATCAAAATATATTTTTTTGAGAAAAAAGTGTACCAGTTTCTGTTGAGTCATGTATCACCAGCATGCGTAGTAATCAAAGTGTTAAAAATCATTGGACAACAAATTTTAGTTTTTTAATTGTATCTTGTGGGAAAAGTGCACTTCTTTGTTAATTTTGGGGCGCTGAATCCAAAAATGACAATGAAATAAAAAAATTAGTTGCGGTTTAAAAAAAAACTTTTTATTTTTAAGGATATATTAAAAAAAGTAACAAGATTCATATACTTATAAGAATCACTATATGCGCTGTCTTTTTGCTGTTCTTTTATGGATCGTTTCTAGAGCATCTCTACCAAGAGTCCAACAGTAGTCTGCAAGCATGGAAGGATTCCACTTTCCCTGGTACCTTTTTTCCATTGTTGAAATATCCTGATGAAAACGTTCACCGTGCTCATCACTTACGGTTCCGCAATTGTCAGGAAAAAAGTCCAGGTGTGAGTGTAGGAAATGTATCTTAAGAGACATATTGCAGCCCATCTTTTGATACGATGACAGCATATTTTTGACAAGGGTTTTATAGTTGTCAGCTTTTCTATTTCCCAAGAAATTAGTGACCACCAGACGGAAATCATTCCAAGCAGTTTTTTCAATACCTGTTAAAGTGTTTTCAAACTGTGTATCTTTCAAAATATTTCGAATCTGTGGCCCAACAAAAATACCTTCTTTAACCTTTGCCTCACTTAGTCTTGGAAATTTCTGACGCAGGTATTGAAAAGCTGACCCATCTCTATCTAATGCCTTGACAAAGTTTTTCATTAGGCCCAACTTGATATGCAGTGGTGGTAATAAATTTTTTTTGTACATGTACATCTTTTTGACCTGGCTCTAGGAATTGACGAGTTTTGTCTGGTGTAATGAAGTGCCTTTGCCCGAATGTCCCATTCACACAAAAAACAGCAAAACCTTGTGTAGCCTAGCTGCAGCCCAAGTAAAAGTGCAACAACTTTCAAATCGCCACAAATATGCCGTTGGTGCTCATCGTATTTTATGCATGTCAATAGGTACTTCATATTGTCATATGATTCTTTCATGTGAACTGCATACCCTACAGGCAGAGATGGTAAAATATTTCCAATATGCAATAACACTGCCTTTAAACTCAATGTTGAACTGTCTATAAACAATCTCCATTCTTCTGGGTTATAGTTTATATTTAAAGCCGCTAGTAAGCCGTTAATGTTACTGCAGAAAACCAAGTTATTCTCCATATTGAAAAATGGTTCTAAGTCTTTGTGGCGTTTACGAAAAACACATACCGAAACATCGTCTTCTAACAAGTTCCACTGCTGCAGTCTTGATCCAAGTAACTCTGCCTTACATTTTGGAAGTTCTAAATCTCTTACAAGATCATTTAATTCTGACTGTGTTATTTTGTGCGGTTGGTGGCATGACGTGCTCGGTATAAAATCAGGATCTCTTGACGTTGATGGCATATCTTCTTCCTGGCGAATCACTCGATCGCCATGATCTGATTCGTTTTCTGATTCGCAAGTGTAGGATTCTGGGGGTTTTGGAACAGGATTTTCGTCACTGTGAGGCACAGGTCTCATCGCAGATGGTATGTTTGGGTAGTTAATAACCGATTTTTTTTTCTTGGACATACCTGTGGCTTGTCCAACACAAGGTACCATGCAAAAGTAACAATCATTAATATGATTTGTAGGCTCTCTCCAAACCATTGGGACAGCAAAGCGCATAGACCGTTTTTTGCCATTTAACCAGCTCCTCAGACTTGAAGCACATGTATTATAGCAGATGTGGGGTGCCCACTGTTTGTCTTGATCACCTAGTTTACAACCGAAATAAAGCTGATATGCCTTTGTTATTAGTGGAGACGCAAAAGTCACATCACCACACACGTAACAAAACTGATCTGGATTGTTTACACACTTTCGAGACATCTTGCATGAACGCTGTCAGCCAACTGAGGAAAAAATGGCTAATATAAAACAATATAATGTACACGTATGTACAACGTAACACAATCATGCCGATTACATCATCTTTCCTTGCCGAATATAAAAATGTAGCACGTGCATTCTTGTGAATTACAGTATATTAACACTGTCACAGCAGGAACACATATAATTACCGTATCTCTAAAACTTGAACTAATATTGAAAAAATAAGTTTCATTCCGGTTTTAGCACATTAAAAATAGTAATATTTTGTTGATTTTATTTAGGATATTTTTTGGCTGTTGATCAGTGAAATCATTCATGCTGTTCACTCTTCTCAATCTTCTTTCTTCTTCTTTAGTCCTTATGGCTTCTGTACACGTACACTTCTCATTGAGTATCGTCTTTTTTTCAGGTATCTCACAGCAATGATGGCATCAGACAAATTGCGGATGAGATAGCGAATCTGACGAAAAGCGTGTTAGATTTGACCAGCCTGACTGATACGAGCCCGAGTATGCAAAGTACCACGTCTGAAGTCAAAAGTAGTCAAATTCCTACAACATTGGACTTTACAACGCAGCCTCCATCCACAAGCACTCTCGAAGCCACCACGGAGTATTCTTTGAGGAGGAATGGGAGAAGAAGGGGCCAGCGGCCTACCAACGGGTAAGCAAAATACGATCTAACATTGATCCTGAACATATAGCTCGTCAAGTGTAGGATATGAGGATTTGCTGAGATTGCGCACACGAGAGAGGGAGAACCCATACGGAGCAAAAGAGATGGCACGTACAATACGTAATTATGTGAAGCCTGCTTTTTTTAATCGAAATTGTTGGCATGTGCCAAATTTTTAAATATCTTTTTGTGAGCCCAATATTCTAAATTTGGTAACAGTAACATTACAATACTAAGTTCTTAAGCTATCTATTGCCTGTAGTATTTCATGTGGCTCGATAACTCTTAGAGAAAATTTGTTCAATGGGTTGGGTTTATGTGCATTATAAAATTGAGTTTGAGAGTATACAGGGTGTTTCAGTTTATTGTTGCAAAACTTTAAGATTCGATAGAACTTTTAAAATTAATGCATAAAGTCTATACAAACATGGGTCGAAAAATGCGTGGCTTCCGAAATACAGGGTGTTTAAATTTACTTTCTAAAATAGTTTTTTTTAAATATTTCGAACAATATTCGATGTATAACAGTGAAAATTGGTATATAAGGGTTTTTTGCTACGACAAAACGAACCATGGGCATAGTTTTACTGTAGCCGCTAGAGGGCGCTCTCTACTGTACCTGTAGTGTATTAAAATGACCGAAAATTTTTTCTTAGTGCAATTTTTTGCTTTTTGAATAGAAAAACTGATTCTTCGCACTTTTCAACATAAAAAAGCTCTCTTGTGAATTCTCGTTATAGTTAGCCGTTTTTGAGATATTTCGATTTTTAAGGTTCGATGCATTTTTAATTATTTATGATAAAATAACGTTAAAAAGTCAGTATCGCGATAATTTTTAGAAGTAGGCTGTGCCTGCAAATATTTTTGAAATTGGAAGCAGAATAAGGTTAAACGTCAATTAGTTGACAGCTAGTTTTGTTGTCTGTTGAAACCTGAAACGTTATTTTGCAATTGTGAATGCCCGAAATTTAGTTTCTTTTACCTGTTTTTTGTAAGTTTTATAAAAATCAACATATTTAGTCGCATGAAAATCCGCATCCAGTTCGGGAAAGGCATTTTCAGCATGAATTTAGTGTGAACGTGTGGATTGGTATCTACCGTAATCGACTATTTGGACCCCAGCTTTGCCTGCAAGGTTAAATGCTGCGACCTTCTTGGAATTTTTAAAAGCTGAACATGCAAATATGTGGGATAATGTTATGTTAGATTTAAGAAGATTGGCCTGGTTCCAGCTTGATGGTTGTCCAGCTCATGATTCGAGAATAGTTAGAAACTGGCTGGACGAAAATTATCCAGAAAGATGGATCGGCCGTGGAGGACCAGTCGCCTGGCCTCCACGATCCCCTGACGTAAATCCGTTAGATTTCTTTGTGTGGGGATTTCTAAAAGAAGAAGTGTACCAGACTCCCGTAACCACAAGAGATATGCTAATAGACAGAATCAGGAATGCATGTGATGAAATAAGGCCTTATTTGAATAATGCTATACCACGTTCGATCATTCGTAGATGTGAATTGTGTATTGAACAATTGGGTTTACATTTCGAGCAACTACTTTAGATTTTGTATGTTTGTCCTAACTATCCAATAGCATTTTAGTTGTAAATAATTAATTTAATTTGTTAAAAATAATATTGGGAAATTATACAAATTAATATTCTGTTTTTTTGTGTTTATTTGGAGTTAGGAATTATTGCTGTGTTTAAAAACACAATCAAAACGATCATCTTAATTACTTGTAATGCCCAAATCGAAAATGTAAAAAAAAATATTATTTTCCCATAAATAATTAAAAATGCATCGAACCTTAAAAATCGAAATATCTCAAAAACGGCTAACTATAACGAGAACTCACAAGAGAGCTTTTTGATGCAGAAAAGTACGAAGAATCAGTTTTTTTATTCAAAAAGCAAAAAATTGCACTAAGAAAAAAATTTCGGTCATTTCAATACACTACAGGTACAGTAGAGAGCGCCCTCTAGCGGCTACAGTAAAACTATGGTTCGTTTTGTCGTACCAAAAAACCCTTGTATACCAATTTTCACTATTATACCTCAAATATTGTTTGAAATATTTAAAAAAAACTATTTTAGAAAGTAAATTTAAACACCCTGTATTTCGGAAGCCACGCATTTTTCTACCCATATTTATATAGACTTTATGCATTAATTTCAGAAGTTCTATCTAATCTTAAATTTATGCAACAATAAAGTGAAACACCCTGTATAATATACAATTAACGAATCTATATGATTAGGATACCTTAAAATACAAATGTACGCACACCAGAAGCAGTTAAAAATGTATACCTAAAAAAACAAGTTTCAGCAAGCTTTGATCGAAGCTGGAGTTTGCATAAGTGAACCTAACAAATTGCGTTTTATTTGCGTTGAGCAGGAGCACCTGATAAAGGTGCTTCGTCCGCATACATAACAGAATTAGTGCAACTGAAGTTATTCACAATAATTATATACAGCAATGGCCCCAAGATAGAGCCCTGCGGAACTCCCACTTCACTCTTACGCATTCCAGGTCTGTGATTTTCAATGTCAAGATACTGGTGGTCTGTTGGACAAATAATCACGAAACCACTCAAGCGAAACTGCGCGTATTCCATAGCATTCAAGTTTTCTCACCAATAGCCGATGATTTACAAGGGCAAAAGCTTTGCTCAGATCAATGAATATCCCAATGCTCCTTTTGCCCATATGAATCCAGCTATAGAGATGATTCAAGAACTTTATTATTGCTGTAGTAGTTTACAAACCCCGCGGAAGCCACACACTAAACAATAGGTTTTTGTTGAAGTATTTCACTGTATAGATTCTCAGGGCGGCAATGCGGGGGCCCATCATTTTCACCTGTTTTGCTAAAATCGAACCGTTTCTTTCCATTCACCAGAAGGAGAAATCCGGAAAGTTACCAAAGACACAGACATCGTTTCCAAACCGAAAGCTTCACGAGCCGACCAGAAACCCACCATACAATCGAAGACGATATCGTAGACCTAGTAGCCAAATCAGCCACAGAAACAACGCTAGAACCGACAAGACAACGAACACGACCCCCGACAAGTGGTGGAGACTTCTCCACGGATGCTCCGCTCAAGAAAAGTGCTGTTCCAACTCAAGCTGAGAGAGGGGGTGATCTGACACTCCCCACCACGCCGTTGTCCGAAACCAAGATGGCGGCGAGGAAACACTACTTCTTCAACTGTTTCGGGAAGCCTATAGATAAGTTTTACGCGGATCCTAGAGACTGTAGATTGTTCCATTATTGTACGCAAGGATACTCCAAGAACCAGCTGTTAGATATGAAATTTGTCTGTGACTTAAATACGTATTACGACGATGAAAAGTTGATTTGTACAAAGAATAAGCCTGCCAGGTGTTTGTAAATATTTTACTTAATTTTATTTAATGTCTTAATATTGATAATGTTGAGATTTTTTGGATCGTAGGTGCAGTGTTTTGGTCTTTGCTGGTTTGGACAACATATTGCTTGGAGTTAGGTTTTTGAGTTTTACTCCAAGGAAAGGTTTGTCCAAGTAAGCATTCTCAAACGAATTACTGGAATAGCTTGATTGTAAAAGCTCAAGTTAGTCAATAGGATCAAATAGATGACGAGGCTAAAACAGATACCTTACAAATACATATGGGGACTATAATTTTAACTACAATAAGGCTTGATCCATTTGGAGGTACTTTTTTCAAGAACAGGAAAAATAAAAACATACAACTTTATATGGAGCTATTTACATTATACAACAAAATAACAAAAAAGCATTCCTGATATTTATTTTTGACGTATCTGAGCAGTATTTGGACAATAATACGAGTAAAGCAAGCTTCGAATTTCTCAATCGTACCCAATTAGTTCTTGTCGACGTCTGCCTCCCCCAAATAAAAATGTTTGGAGTTGTGATGTCACACCATGTAGGAAATCTATTTATCGGTATGAAATGAGAAATTAACTACTCACCGAGTAGTTGTTACAACAAAATCATGGTTCCAAATGTGCGCATGCACTATTGAAACTATATGGTCCAAAAACCATGACCTTGAATTTCATATAGTAAATAATGTGTTATGGTTAGGTCGATTCTGTAAGCCATAGTGTAAAAACGAACATCCATATTCAGCTTGTAGACATCACTGCATAATATTCAATAGACATGCGATCACAAGTCAAGAAGACTGGCGCGTTATCGGTAATACTGTTCATGATTTTTTATTCTTTGTCAATTATTTACATTAATAGAGAATCGTAAGCATATTGGCAACGCCTGTATTTATTTTTGATTAAGTATTTAAAATTGTAATGCCAATGACGTAGATTTAAACGACGCATCTTTGGCGCGCTTTGCAGTGACGTCATGACTCATGATTTGTCACTTGATCGCATTTTTGGTTACGTAACTGTCAAATTTTTGACATACCATCTGTTTGTAGGTATTTATAGGTTATGTTTATTACTACAAATTTCACGGAAAAGCTGGAACCAAAGTGACAGGTTGACAGTTAATGACAGGTCGCAAATGTTGACGTCACGTCAACAGCGCTTTGACATTTTAAATTTATCGCGTATTTTCCCATTTTTTATTAATTAATACTTGCAATTGTATAGTGCTCTAGTATAAAATAAGGTTTAAGAAGGCGTGATCCTTTAGCAACGTAGACTGCGAATAAAAATAATCGAGTGATATTTGAATTTATGCATATTTCCTATTCATAAAAAGTACCTCTAAATGAATAACCTGTTACATGTGTGGGAATTATTTTTCCGCCTTTTTTAAATACTTTGTATCCAAACGTCAATGTTTTATGCACCTATTTGCATTAGACTGGTACAAATAAATAAAAAATAATAGACGTATTTCTCTTGAATTCAAATTCGACAAAATTGTAGTACCTGGTACAGTGAAAATGACTTGTGAATTATTCAGAATATGCTGGGTAAATCAGAGTAGCAGTGTATGAGAAAAACAGTTACCTTTTTCTTTGTAATACATGTAGTATGTTTTACGTCACTGAAACGTAGCTATTGCAATTGGTATCGTATATAAATAAACACTGTACTTATCTTAAGTTCTCGAAGATGTAACTAAAATTTAGCCTCCTTTCGAAACATTAGATAGCAGATATGTCATTTGAAAGGACGCGTAAGTTTTTCCTATAGTTATCTTCTAGGAAATGCCAAGATGATTATTTAAAGTATATTTTGTAATTATTGAATATAGCTTTGTTATAAATATTGATAGGTTAATGAAGTATTAACAAAAATAAAATATTTTTGAGAGATAATAAAGACTCATTTATTTCATTCATACCAGGTTATTTCTTTTGGGTCGCATAGGGGAAATAAAACCACATCTTTACAAATATTTCGATTTATTTATAAGTAAAATTAATACAAAATAAATTGAATCAATGTAGAATATTTTTAGAGAATAAACTTGCAGTAGAGATCAATTTTAGATGACAATTCTTATAATCAAAACCTATAATTTGTAGCAAAAATGGCAAACATAATTTACCGCCAATGATAAAAAATGCATCTTAAAAGCAGTGTATTTTCCATGAGTTGCGAAGATACAGCTAAACAGGTAGATAGAATACAATACATTATTACCAATTCCACATTTTATACAAGGGATATAATCATGTTACTGCTCCAACTGTTTCATGATTTTTCTTTACAAAAATACACTGCAAATTATTCGAAAGATCTAGGTACTTAAATTCAATGGCGCATATGGCAAAATCAATGAAAATCATGTCAATATAAATAAATTAATAACATCAAAAACAGTCCTGATATGTCTATTGTTATTTGCCGTAGACGCTAAAAAATTACACATAGGGCAGTATACGTATACTCAGTGGCGGATCTAGAAAATATTTTCAGAGGGTCAATATGAAAAAAATGCTGGGAGGGAGGAGCTCAGGATTTATGTTCACGAGAATGTCCGTCTTGAGGGAAGGGAGGGGGGGTATCGCAGATTGAAAATTCAAGAGGGGGGGTCGTCGCAAATTGAAAAACAAACCTGGACGCACTCCCCGGATCCGCCACTGTGTATACTCAATACTACAGCGAACAACACAATATATTTTCATTTCAAAGTTAGACGAATTAGTGAAAAAACTTTGTAAACATCAGTTGACAGCTACTAAAAGCTGGAATATCAACACTCTGTGGTGAAGCAAGTTTTTGTCAAATTAAATAAAAAGCAAGAAATATTCATGAAACTTAGCTGTATTCTTCGGAAGTGATCAAACTGACAGCAATGATCAATTTACAGGTATATTCTATCAGTGATTAACCAAACTGAGCCACATTTGCGCGTTCAAAATATTGTTAGAGATAAACTGAGATACTTTAGCGCTATCTATGAGAATTTGTCACAGCTATATTTCTCCTTGCCGCAATAATTAGGAATCTGCGCTAGTGTGTCATAGATGGCGCTGTAGCTAACTGTGTATGAACATATAGCTTCAGCGCCATCTACAAGACACGTACCTTTTCAAAGGAGACTTCTAATCATTTCGCAATGAAGAAACATAGCTGTGACAAATTATCATAAGTGGCGCTACGGTATTTCATCTCAGATAATTTTTTGGACCCGTAAATATAGTAGTAGGTTATGTTTGTGTTGACTTCAAACCGAAATTTCGCGACTCGGATTGAGAATCAACAATGGGTCGGCTGGTCATATAATAATAATGCCTTTATTGTTGGAAGTGTGGCACTGTTATGTATTAACAATTCACTTGGCAACACCGCCATAATGCTCGATACCTGTCACTTCTGAAATATCATCTGTCAAATGCCAACAGGGTAGTTTTTTCTGGAGCGAAAACAATTTTTAAAAACTTAGTCTTGATGTGTAAGCCGGTATGTAGGTGTTTTTGAAGACACACGAGAAGTGCTATGTGAAGCAGTAATTGTTCGAGGACAATAAACTGTGTGTCATCGAGTAGCAGAGACCCATAATAAAACAACAGTTATTGACTCATCCACAATGCAGGGCGAGGTTTAGCCTGCTGGCTACTCTAGCTCTTAACCTTACACTGAAATAGTAGTACTGTAATGTAATATCCAGAATTAAGATAAAATAAAAATTTCATATGCTAGTTTTGCAGCAGATTGCAGAAGATGGCTCTTGGTAGTTTCTTTTTTTGAACGCTGCTATACCTTTGGTTTTATATCATTGAGAGCATTATGGCACTCAGGTGTTTTCGGATTGTGTTGTTTTATCTTTGTTGATTGGCTATCCAGCTGAGAATGAAGTACCTTTGATTCAAGTTTAAAGTTTTACAAGATACGAGTCCTGGTATAATGGATCACTTGTGTCAATTTAGTCTGTTCGGAAGAATACAACTATATAGCATCAAAGAGTGGTTATGCCGCTGATCGGCTACAATAACCTTGGGCTTGACCTCATTTCCGGTTTACGACAAGAACACAACGATCTATAAGCGTGCCGCCCTTTGTTTGGCCGTTTGCACATAGATGGCTCGGCGTCTATCGAGGAGGCGTACAGTGTTGCCAAACTGTCAGAAAATGTTTAGAAACTGCTTCAGCACCCGGTTTTTGGTGGTTAAGTCACAATGTCGTACGAAATAATTAAGCAGATCGTCTTAACTGTACCACTTGTGGAACTTAACTTCCCTATGAGTATTATACAGTGTGCAAGCATATCCTTAGAGCAGCTTAACTACTCTTTGCTATAAATAAACTTGACATATTCGCCATCTTGCTTCGGTACTTACTTGTGTAGTTTGAAACTGAGATTATTCAAGTAAAAATCAATATAAGCAATCATATATACCGCTTATATATTTATATGACTTTTACATTTAAGATATATACACAAGCTAACATATCACATCACTACGTGTTTTCAACATGCTATTTAGTTTTGGGACGCGACTTATGTACATTGTTATATAAATAAAGTTAACCAGTACTCTAAATAAATAAAAGCTTAAATTACACATACATGACCTTCAAGAGTGTGTCTGCCAAGAAGGAAGCTCAAGTTCAGACCAAAAAAAACCTTACGTTTATCGTCACTCATGGAGGTTAAAATTGACGTTTGCTTCGCACTCAACGCTGTCAAATTTTAATCAATGACCATGCCTCTGAAACGTCAAACCAGAAGTTTGAGAGATTTTTTTTAGCCCATAGCCACATCGCCAAGGGATTGATTTAAAAAAGCTAGATAGCTACCTCATCCTTGGCATAGTAGTAACCTTGTGCCAACATTTCATCAAAATCCGAACAGTGCTTTCAAAGTTATAGAGGGGTCAAGGATTAGCGGCCATGCAGACGGACTGACAGACAGCCCAACGGAAATGAGTGACATATTTAATCACGATATACATGTAACACCCAAAAACCTATACGATTTTCGAAATTTACTGACTGCAATAATTCTTCACCAGAAGAGCGGGATCTGAAAAGGTTAGGTTAGGTGTTCCTTTTTGACAGACACGATCTGTCGGTGAAAAACTTAGTAAATTAGTCATTATAGTAAGAAACAGAATATTTATATTGGTCCAGAGTATTATTACATTAATTTGTACAATATAAGTATCAATATCAAAGAAACAATGCGAAGTTTAAAATTGTTCGTTAGTCTTGAATTCAACAGATTAATTTTCAACTAGCATATCATATTTACGATTTTCTTCTCGGGTGTACGAAAAAGAATTGAATCTTTTAATTTCCACCCTGTGTTTACGCAATATATAACTATTAAAAATTCCATCTTCTGACTAGAAATATATATGTAGTCCCTGTTTAAATAGCACTTAAGTTTATCATTCAAAAATTCATTTTTGATAACGATATGCTTATTTTTAAATATATACTTTATATCCTACCGTTCAATTAATCCGTCGGAATACCTATAAACATTTTTTTACAAGTTATAAAAAGAAAATTCTACAAACATTTTTTTGTAGAAATTAAACACTCATAAATAGTATCAATCGTATCACACATTTAGCAGCCATGGTATTTTGGAGAATGCGAAAGGAATTTCAAAACATATACACTTTTTTACAGTTTGGATGTTAGACGTTAACACGTGCATCTACAGTTTGCAAAAGCATTAGAGATGTTTGACGAAGAGCTACAAAATGATTTATATAGCTATATTTTGTTTAAAAGTACATTATGTGCTTCTAAAGTGCATTGTCTTCAAAATGCGCCGCTTGGACGCATTGACCTCGCCGCATTACAGGGTTGCCAGGTTTTCAGTCACGCGTCGGTCGCCAAATTTTAATGAGAAAATCGCCAATCCTTAAAATGGGGGGGGGGCAGTAGCCTGCCTTATGACGATGACTGAAATTGGGAGTGTTGGAGGTTAGGCATAATAATAATATTATATAATGATAAACAATTTCTTGAAAAGCGAGAGATGAGGACGGAGGGTTATTAGATATATGTACCTAATGACAAAATTGATTACAAATTCAGGAATATTAAAAATCCCAGATATCCTCAATTTGCTGGATACGGAGCGCCACAAAAGTAGCCAATCGCTATGCATTTTAGTCGCCATTTGAATCCGTCAAATCGCCACTTTGGCGAAAAATCGCTACGCCTGGCAACTCCGCCCCTTGACATTGACTTGGTCCAGTGTTGCCGGTTGTTACTTTTCTTCAGATAAAAGTCAGATTTGCATATTTGCCATTTTCAGCTCTATATCGGTATGATCCAGTGTTGCCAGTTATAATTTCTTTTTTCAATGCGTATTCAGATTCAGTTCGCCATTTGTTATCGAAGGGATTTTATAGTCTACAGTTACAGAGTTACTATAAGGAGCTTCATCAGACTGAATTACAGCTTGCTAACTTGACCCGGTCAAAAAATAATTGTGGAGAATTGGCTTTTTGAAAACAACTGGGTATCTTAAAACGATATGATGATATATGTCTTAAGAAAATGTCTAATTAATAGCTTAAAAAAATTTAAATATTCCATCTTTTGAAGTTTTAAATCCATTGTCCATCTTTTTTGTTTTTGTATACTGTTGTTTTAACACCTTTTTATAAATTGGTCAATTTTTTTAACTCATAATTTCATTTAGATTTTTGCTGTGTTTTGACATTTATTCTGCATATTTTATAACCCTACAGAAGACATGAAATCAATGTCCAAATGTAGAATTATTGAATAAATGCACCATAAACAACTTGAGTATTTGTATCCCAAAAATGTGAATAGGACCAGTACTTGACAAACACCCAAACTGTATATACAGGGAGGGATATTTTAAGACTGAACACGTATCGGATACGCTAAAAAATATGTACATGTGTGCAAGATATATTCTTAGCTTAGACAAATTATGCTTGTGGATCCTTAAATTTGCCTTCCTGTTACCTGCCTCGTAATGTTTAAAATTTCCCTGCCTGTGCGAAAGTGGCTTTAGAGCAACAAAAAGGTATCCGTTTAAAAGCTAAATTTCGAGTAAAAATTTCCTGTAACATAATGCCCATTCAGGAAATTGTAGAGAGTACAAATGAAATTGAGTGAAGTGAAGAAAATCTTAAGTTACTTAGGTAACTAGTATTATAGTTTATTACTATAGTCAACATAGGCAACATGTACTTCCTTAGCTCGATATCGGGAGTCAAAACCATGTCGTCCATTAAAAGTAGATATTTTGAAAGATTCCATCATCAGTTCAAAGTAGAGAAGAGAAAACTCTAGATGCTTACTTATTTACTAAATTTATATACAGTGAAATTTGTTTACGGTTTTGAGCGCCGCTTTCAATGTGTTCGAGAGAGACCATGCAATACGTGTATTAGAAAGAGCGCTATGACTTGCCGCGTTGCCAAGCATTACACGATTTTCTTAAATTATGATACATGTGGAAATAAGATTTAGTTTCTTTTCTAGGCCCAAATAATGGTTTTGTTTTGAATCGAGCCGAATCGGTTTAAAATCCCTTCCAAATCAGTTTCAACTATTCTCCGATTTCAGTTGGAACCGAAACTTCAGAATCGCCACAAATTCTGAAAAATTGCATCACTGATTTGACAACGCCGCATCTAGGTTTCCGTCACCATAGATTCATGATAGTCCGGTGCTATTAGCGTTGTTTGCAACAAGAAATGAGTTGGTCGCTGCACATAATTTATTTTTCAAAAATGATGGAATCGATGTATGTGAATATAACGTAATAAATAAAACTTATACAACTTTGATCTATGAACTAATACGATCACATTTTCTTAAATTTGATCTACAACACTACAACATGAATTCTGAATTTTTTAGTTGAAACTGAATCTAGAAATCGAACGTATACTAAATCACAATATGTGATTTTTGATATTATTAAATTTTGACATAATTCTGTTTTGCTTTAAAATTTGTTTATTCAAGTATAGTAGAACAATTTTTAGTTACATTATTTACCTGAGGAATACATATAAGATTTATATTTTTAATGAGGGACCCTAGATTTTTAGAAGAAGAAATAATAACTTTGGATTGATCGTCTATGTGTCTGTTGCATACTTTTCAATAAAATTTAGGTCCTCTATTATTTGTGCTTTGGGAATTTCTAAATTTTCATGATTGAAGCTTTAATTGTCAAAAAATCTACATTATGTCATAAACAACCAATACAATGTCACTTTTTACGTTACGTAATATGAGAGCATTGTTCAACTGGTTACTCCTTGAAAAAAATGCTAACAGCACTGGACTATCACGAACCTATGGAAGTGGAAAACTTGCGTTGGAATTTAGCCAGATGCGGTGTTGTCCAAACTTTCAGTTTCACCTAAAATAGCTGAACGTTAAGATCGATCCGGAATTGATTCTAAGCCGACACAATTCGCTATTCAGGAACACTCAAATGCATTATTTGGATGTAGAAAACAAACTAAAGCTTATTTCCAGCATACATCGCGATTCAAGAAAATGGTGTAACATTTGGCAGCACAGCAAATTACAGCAGTGCTCCGGGCGTTCTCCCACTGTCACATGCTTATGGGGTGCACTATTTCTATTGTACGGTGTTGCACTCCTATCTCTCGTACACATTGAAAGCGGCGACCAAAAACGTAAATAAATTTCACTGTATTGCTGTTTTACCTATAAGTTTGAAACGTCGAATCAGACAAAGTGCAAGAACTGATGTATCTGTCATGAAAAATTGCTGTAAATTCGACTAGAGTTTATTGAAGTGAGGCACTGTAGGAACTTCAAAATATCTCCTTTACAAGCTGCCTCAAAAGTCTACGCACGGATCCTGTGAATTCGTTACCAAGAAATGTACATGTTTCGGTCTAAAAAGAAGTGGAACGTTAAGCTAAGTCTTTTTACAGAAGTTACCTAGCCTGCCCGGAATGCTCTCTAGCATACAAACATCATTCATACTGCGGCAAATTTTACAAGTTACTCGAATCGAAATCCTGTGAAAACGCAAAACAAGCTCCTTCCCGTCAAATCAGCGGTAAAAATACTAATCGACTCTCATATCAAATGAACCAAGCAGGAATTGCCGGAAAACAAAACTGTTTCTTCAACAGTTCTATGCGTAAGGCACTGGGCCCATAACCTAAAAAACTTTGGTATTAAGATGAAAATGTAGAAAGAGGAGGAGGTGGGTAGTCTTGGCTGACTCTATAAGATGCAAAATGGAAAGATCTTGCCGTTGCTACCGTAACGGAATCGGATATCAGAGGGCCAGGAAGAAAGTTTGTTTTCGAAAATATTTTTTTTTTATGGATGGATATTGCATGAACTACAGAACTCATTAGAATCTCACTAAAAAACAACTTACAATGTTGAAATCCTGTTTCGGGAGAAGCGATCTAAGAAAAAACAGAGAAGCATCACAACAAATCCATGGATCACTATACGAAAAACTAGTCATTGTTAAAATGCATTAATGAAGTTTTGAAACTTGTTTATCAGACCAATCGATGGAATGAATATTAAAAATCAAACATGGCGGTTAATCAATAGGGGAAGGAACGTTGTACAGTTTCTTATACGTTGATTTTAAGAAGAAATGAAAAGAAAAGAGAGATCAAGACTTATTTACAATGTTGCCCATTTATGCATTTTCATCCTCGTCTTTGGCAACATTGTCAATCAATGGGTCATCCGCTATTTCTTTTCATCCCTTTTTATAATCAAAAATATCTACGAAACTGTAAAATGCTCTTGCCGGCTTGATCAACCGTGTTTGATTTTTAATATTTAATCAATTAGTATGGAATTAAAGGAAAATAAGGTCTAAAACTTAATTTAATGAATTTTAACGATTACTTTTCATATAGTGACCTGTGAATTTGTTGTTTTCACGTTTTAATGATGTTTTTCCGTTTTTGAGATAACTTTTCCCGAAATAGGATTTCAACGTTGTAAGTAGTTTTTTATTGATAATGAGTTTGTAGTTTATCCTGCGGAAGAAAATATTTTCGAAAAAAACTTACTATGGCTGAAACCTCAAGAGTTTTTTATTTCGACTGAAAATGTATATACAAATAATTTTCTCAATAACATTGAACCGTAAAAAACAGTTACAGCATTTATCAACCTCAGATCGTTATTTTTTTGTAGGTTATGGGCCCAGCACTATCGAGCCTTATGGAACTGCAGCCTGTATCATTTGATATAAGATATCCCGTATAAAACTGCGCTTGAACGAAAAAATCATCTGGACTCACAAAAGATTTTTTGAATATATTTCATGTGCAGAATTCGAGTAAATGCACAATTTGCTTGTGTTTATCTCAAAATAGCAACAAAAATGACATTTTTGCAAGCAACTGAAGGCAAAAAGGCCAATCAGTTTGATCGACTCTTTAAAAAAGGCAACTTTGATAGTATGGATATAAATAAATTAAACGGAATGTTTTATACACATGATGAATGATTACAAGCTTCTTACAAACCAAAGAAATGTAATGCTGAGACAAAACTGTTTAGGTTACAAAAATATGCATTATGTATATTCTGTCAATTTGTCACACAACAGGTAATTTTTATCAACGTGGAAAATATGTGTAAAGACGAAAAATGTTTAGGTTCAACTTGAAATGGTAGAAGCTCATAACATCCCATCAAAGCAGTTGCATCTCAAAAATATTAGCGCAACTATTTGTATTATATCTAAAAGCTGCATGTGCACTGCACACTGAACACTCAAAATTTTGAGACTGCACTAATATTTTCCGATGTACACAAGCGAGGTCTATACAAAAAATATAATACGTCAATATTTTCCATGGATCTGTTTAATACACTTATATCAAATACAAAAAATCGACAATAATATGAATATATAAAGATTCGATACAAATATTCTTAATCGTACAAGAACTCGCACATTAAACAAATTTCAAATGTTTATTCCTAATATTTACGAATTTAGTATTATAAAAAATAGATTCATGGAATATATTCCAATCAAGCAGTAAAAAATATCGGTATATAAATTATCAAAGTCATATCATTAAATAAAATAACAAAATAAAGTCAGTAAATAATGTACAAATTACCTCTTAAGCTAAAGCTGTACAACACAATATATAACAACTTCCTCATATCAAACTGACCAGCAACAAAAAATATAATTATTTGGGGATAGGCGGTGCTACCAACTTGTTATTAATCCAGTTCAAGATTACACGTAATTTGTTAAAACAAAACATGTTTAGATCACTTGTGTAAAATATACATGAATATGATAGTATCTCTCGGTTTAAGCTAGATTTGAAAAACAACACAATGTTTGTATATGTGAAGACCTAATTGGCTGCTCTTTATGACTGGGGTTCCCAAGGATGTAAAAGATTAGGTTATGTCATCTACAAAGCTACATCGTATCAAGGTTAAGATTCACACAATTTTTTAACCAAACTAAATTCAACCTTTGGCTGAGCCGAGCCTGAGCTTCCATGTTTTTGTTGCACCAGTTCACTTTTCTAACCTAAAATGTCATCTTGCCAGTTTGACATTTTTAAGATTTGACATACTGACCACAGTCTGTCATGTTCTAAATTAAAAATTGAGGATATCAATGCTCTTCAATAAGCTCTAAAAATCCCGCCTGATGATAATATATTGTAACTACTCATCAGAAACAACAGCCAACTTGTTCCAATTCAGGATCAACTGTTGAATGAAAATTCAATCCTACCCACGTCTTGTTCTTTCAAGCTGCTTGATGCCCAATCTGGCGCCGTTCACGTGAAACAAACCGGATTAGTGAGGTATCTAAAATCGCTTTCTAGTTGCACCACGCCGCCTTGTTGGCACTTACCACGGTATCACCCTGTATATGATTTTTTACGGATGATCGCATAATGGTCAGTATCCACAACAGCAAATGCAATAATGGTACATAAAAAGGGTATTTTCAAAATGAATAGAAATACATGTGATTACATTACTGGAATTGCCTTTTCATTCATACAATTTTGGTGCGAAATAAAACACAACCAATTGCAGAAGTAATTTTCCTGAAAGCCAACTGTTGTTAGGTGTAACTTTATCTTACTTAAGTTTTCACTAAAGATTTGAGAAAGGAGGTGCAATATCCTAAGTAGCACAACCTGGTCTTCACATCCGTAACCACAACCCTAATTTCTGATATGACTGAGCACCGCCGATCCCCACTACGTCACGTTCTGATCCGCTCCAAGGTCAACGTGCGTCACATGCGCGCACGCCATTTCGCGTGTCGTCTCAGTCAGCCGCCCCTTTCACACCAGCCATTCACGTTCGTCGCTTGTTCGCGCCAGCCACCTACGATCAGAGCACAACGTCGGGCAGGCTGTGCGGCCACTAGGCGAGCCGAGAGTCGTTGTCGCAATGCACGATTTTGCGCTCTTTGTAGTAGATCTCTTCGCTCTCCTTGTCGCATGTCAGTAAGACCACTCCGCCGAAGAGGAAGATGGCTGCGCCCCAGCCGACGCCGTACGCCCAGCCGAACTCCCAGATTGTGCGGTTGCCTGGAACATAATGGAAATTGTGGTAGAGTTCTCGCTGAGCCGCTTACTTTGATCTACAGGGTGGCCCAACGAAGAGGTCGCACCCCTATTGTCACGTGCCAAAATCACGTACCCTTTTTTTTTAATTATGTTGATCACTTACTAGTAATTTGAATTTCTCTTTATTAATGGTAGAGTGCCCATTCTTAGAACAAACCCTTTTCAATGATTTTCTTTTGCTAAATTTCGTAATTTATTGATTTTATAATTTCAAACGTATATCTTTCTTTCTCAGTGATTTTGTATTGGGTTGGAAAAAAACTCTGTGGTTTTTCTCTATTACTTGGTTTTCTGTCGAACATATCTTCTTCAAGGCCTCTCATTAAACATTCCTTTATAAAGTTAAGTGTTTCGTGCAAGTCACTTTCCGCCTGAGATTATGGTGTGAGCGCCATTTGTTCAACCTCCAGATTCTGTGATATTAGGCGCCAAACACCAGTTTGTGTGTACGTTTAGTTGTTTTGGTTTGGGTGCTACTCCGTCCATTTTCTAATGGGATTTTAATCTTCAGCGTAGGAGGCATTGCAGAAAACCACCATGCACTCCTCCAGGTTTGCTTCTAGCCATCTTGCAGCTGGTATTGCCGGAAGCCACCCCTCCCCCTTAGCAAAAAACCCTGAGCAGGGTACTCCACAAACTGGTGTTCGGCACCTAATATCCCAGAATCTGGAGGTTGAACAAATGGCGCTCACACCACAATCTCAGGAGAAAAGTGACTGACACGAAACACCTAACTTCATAAAGGAAGGTTCAATGAGTGGCCTTGAAGCAGATTTGTTTGATAGAACACCAAGTAACGGAGAAAAACCACAGAGTTTTTTCCAACACAATACTGAATCACTGAGAAAGAAAAATATAATACCTGTGAGATTATACAATAAATAAACTATGAAATTTACCAAAAGAAAATCATTGACAAGGGTTTGGCCTAGAAATGGGCACTCTACCATTAATAAAGAGAAATTCAAATTACTAGTAAGTGATCAAAACAGTAAGAGATTTTGGTCGGGGACACTATTTGTGACTCTCCTGGTATATTTTGGGAAAAAGGCTCGGGCACGTCAATTTTCTTTTCATCTATAGCCGTACAATAGATAGTAATCCAAAAATAAGATATTGCGTTATAGTTTAGATTTGTAAATGGAAGCCCCCATTTTTTTATTTTGAGATTTTCCATGAAGTTTTTAGTAAATTTGGTATAATAAAGTTTATAACTATCTTCAATCGTTACACAGATCCACTTTCTTCAAAATTTTCTTATCAAATTAGGCACATACTTATCGTTAATATTTTTGTCTGGATGTAATGCATTAAACAACCGGGCAGTAGCAAACTAGGTAGGTAATTTTCTAAAGCTACAAAGTGGATACTTACCTAAATTCAGTTCAGCGGCAAAACAGACCGGGTAGATGATGAGGGCCACCAATATGGATACCACTGTGGACAGAAAACAAAATTAATTAATCAGATTTTCGTACTTGGCCTTTCCTGCTGAGCTTTTCCGTAGACCGCAATGTTTCCTTTCCGTCTGCCTCCAAGAACCAAGTTGCAAAAATGGCATAATGGACATGCTGACTGGGAAGTGTTCAGATACGTTTTCTCCATATTTTCTTGGGGAGATGTTTGTCGCCCAATAACCGAAATTGTCCACGTTGGGATGGAGGAATACACCCTTCAAATAGCGAAAGTGCCTAAACCAGGGTCCAACTCAAACGCAAGAATCTTGCAAAGAAACTCAGACCAAAAAAAGCAGATATAAAAATAACAATTCGGATAGCAATTCCAAAGAACATGAATAGTTTTATAGCGAATTCAATCAAAAACCTGACATTAACTAGATTGATTTGGAGGTTACTAAGTGAAAATTTTTAGGGAAACTTAAAAAAGTGACGACGAGATTTTGCAGATCGAACAAGTCACCAAATCACAGGACTGTACTTTGTCGCACCTTCATCGGAGGATAAGGTTGACAGCGACTCGATTTGGTGAAGTTTATAGAAGAAGGCAGACAACAAGCTGTAAAGTTCTAGTAATCTCCATCATATACCCAACAGAGTTTTCTAGTAAGGCAATGAAAAAGGCAATACAAAAATCATTGGACACCGCAGTTCAGTCTTGTGGTTTGTTTATTGATCACACACATCCATTTCTGGCAGCATCGCTTCCATCTACGTATTACAGTAGATAAGAAATGTACTTAATCCAGGTATAAGCCTACCTGTTTATTGCTTTGCAAACAGTACCTAACTGTTTCCTCTTATTTTGACGGCATAAGATATTTTTATGACCCTCATTCAATTGTTACCATGTACCACATGACCCTTGTAAACATAATTGTGTTTACAGACATGAATAAACGAATTTTAATTTGAGTTCTTGAATTTATTTTAGGACATATATCAAATTATTTGAATACATTTTTTCTTAGTCGGAACGCACCGTCGCGTCGCTTGGACTGGCAGGACGAAACAGTAGACGAATTTCGCTCAAAAACCGATTTGCACTTCACAGCTTACGTTTCATTTTTTATTATTTCCAAATGAAACTCTTACAGCGTGCCAAAAACAAAGTCCACAGGTTCAAATGAAAATGCAGGTATAAAATCTACCAAATTATCGTTCTCAAAAACATATTTCCTTGACATATCGATAATTTTAAAGTACCACGTTAAATTCCCCTATACTTGACTGGAGTGATATCCGAATTTATTCTTCCCTACTGCCGGCAGTTGCAGATAGATCTGTTGGCTCTTGGTGTCAAACCTATAGAGCAGGTAACGATTTTTTCAAATCGTAAGCACATTATTCGTCGGATTGTCGTTACTTAAATCTCCTGTAATCACTGGGATCAGAAGATTCTTAATAATAGAACGTGTGTCACTGATATCATAATGTTGCATATTTAGAATCACCTTTCCCCAACCCCCACTTTTTAAGCAGTACAATTTTGTTCTGTTAATGATAAGGAACCCCTGTAACGTCAAAATCGGAGTTTCAGCAATTGTTACTTTTTCTTTTTTGCCTATAGCACCGTTACCACTGGACTAAAACTACTAAGCTTTGGCATACTAGTAACCCAGTGTGGAAATTTCATAAAAATCCGATCGGGTATTTCTAAGTTGATGAGTGATACAGTTTTTCATATGACTTAAAAAAACATAACATCTCATTTTAGAAATTTTTCGCGGTTACAATACTTCCTCGCCTATGGCGTGGGAAGTAAAACGGCTTTAAAATCGAGGAGTATCAACGATCGCGATTATGAGTACCTAGTCTTAGTCCGTACATTGCGCCGCAACGCTTGGTTTGGCAGCACGAAACAGTAGACAAAATTCGTCCAAAATGCGATTTGTAGAGGTTTACGCGCTTCGAAATTGACGCTTTATTTTTTGATATTTTTGGATGAAATTTTCACAGAGTGCTGAAAACAAAACCCCACAGGGTGCTATAGAGCCACTTTTTAATTTTTTTCACTAGGTTCTTTTTAAAAAAAATCGCGAAGTTGAACAGAAAAAGTGCGCACTTCAACCCATCATAAAACTTGTGCAAAAACAAAATTTCAAAAAGTGCTCCTATAGCACCCTGGGCAATTATCTTCTCAACATACTGTATGAATTTCATTCAAAAATATTGAAAAATGGAGTGTCAGTTTTGAAGCAGCTGAACCCTTGTAAACGGCTTGAAACTCACTGCGTCGGAGACGCCTTACGAGAATTTCCAGGCGCCAATGTGATACAGAAATGGATCAGAATGTTCGAAACAACCGGCTGGACAGTAGCAATAACAGCTCGTGCTCGTCCAGTTTCTGTAAGATCAGCCGACAATGTAGAGCGTGTTCGTGTTTCAGTTCAGCAAAATCCGCAACAGTCAACACGTAAAGTTTGCGGCGAATTTTGAAGCGTGTTTTGCATTTCAAGGCTTATAAGATTCAACTAGTCCAAGAATTAAAACCAGATGATGCCAATAACCGACTTAACTTGGTCAATTTGACGCTCGACCGATTCAATAGATTTAACAACGTGATGTTTAGTGATGAGGCCAATTTTCACCTCAATGGTCATGTTAACAAACAAAATTGTCGGTTCTGGTCCGAAACTAATTCCCGACGCTTGCATGAACGTCCACTTCACAGCCCTAAACTAGTCGTGTGGGCTGGAATTACGTCAATCGGTATTATTGGACCGTGCTTTTTTGAGGACGAAAGAGGGCAAGCGATGACAGTTAAAGCTAACAATTATTGCAATATGATAACAGACTTTTTGGTGTCAGCTTTGCAAGAACTCCAAGAAAATACCTCTAGAATGTGGTTTCAACAAGATGGGACCACATGTCATACAGCTACGGTATCTATAGAGCTGCTAAAAAATGTCTTTCACGGTACACTCATTTCGAAAAGGGAGGATATTGAATGGCCACCACGTAGCCCCGATCTTTCTCCATGCGATTATTTCCTATGAGGCTACCTCAAATCGGTGGTCTACGAGAATAATCCAACTAATTTAGAGCCACTAAAGAGGAATATTGTTCAGGGAAAAGTCATTTGAACAACATGATTTTTAAGTCTTAAAAATTCCTATCTTTCTACTTTTTACATTTATATTGCCTAGTTATTTTTTAATTGAATATTGAAATTGCCAACACCTTTATGGCCCACCCTGTATAATGATATTTCTAAATGTTCGGTCTTTCACCAAGCCATTTGGTGTATGTCGACACATCTACAGTATATTCAGATAAGAGATAGACCGGATGTAAACAAAAGGTTCGGGTGATTTTCACAATAACGCCGCCGTCTCGACGTAAAACAGGAGCCCTCATTGGTCAATTCGCAATTAAATGCCTATGCCGAGCGGCAGAGCAGTCGTATCAAGGCAGAGTCACATTCAGGTTCAGACGTGTTACGTATGTCGTGTGCATCATTGCAATTTGATATTTCTTTGGACGTTTTCGTTTGTTATCTTATTAAGTTGTTGAGTTTGTCGTTGTTATTGTTATACCTTGTTATTGATTGTTATTGTTATCAACTGCTTGCGCAAAATGCCCAGTAGTACAGATACTGCCGATGAAGTTGTAAACTCCTGTAGTCCACCTAGGAAACGCTCTAAAAAAGACACCTGAGTGCAGAAATGAAAGAGGTCATTTTGAATATATATAAGATCGAGCGCGAGGAAAACGAGGCATCAACCATCAAAGAAATTGTTGTGAAGGTTTCTCACAAAGTTGGGGTGTGTGGCGCATCAGTGTTTAATGTGTTAAGACAATACAAAAAAAATCACACCTTTTCTGAGCCAATGACCAGTAAACATCGCAAAAGTATTGTTAAATCATTGGATGAAGCTGATAAGCATGCGATTAGGAGGAAAGTGCATGAATTCTTCTTTAGGAATGAAATACCTACTATAGATAAAGTACTGCAGGAGGTAAATGGAGATACAACGTTGCCAAATTTCAAACGATCAACTTTCCGTGCGTTACTGAAGCATTTAAATTTCAAATGGAAAAAACGGGGTCGTAATAGTTTACTACTGGATAGAGAAGAAATTGTGCTATGGAGGAGGGATAATTTAACAAAAATTGGAAAATATAGAAATCAAAAAAGGAAGATTTATTACCTTGATGAAACGTGGGTAAACGCAGGACACACTACAAGTAAAGTATGGGTTGATGATTCTGTAACTTCATCCAGGAGGGCCTTTCTAGATGGACTGTCCACCGGATTAAAAAATCCAGCAGGTAAATACGAGTAATAGACAACAATCGGATGTTTTTCAAACCTTGGGAACAAGGTTCTAAACATTAATTCCAGGGGGCAGATAAAACATATTACAAGTAACAAAACTTTTATAACTTTCGATAAAATGCGTGGATGTTTTATTGTCATTTTCATTTGTTAGAACTTTTTTAAGCCATGTTTTTATGTGTTTTCGATATTTCAATAATTTTTTAATATAATCTTAAAATATGTCGAATATTATAAACTTAAAAAAAGTTACTAAGTTTTATATTGTGTACCGTTCCTAAGATTTCTAATCATTTTAATTCATACTTTAAGCTTTATAAAGTTATAATTTGTTAATATTAATATTTGCGCGTATTTCAGGTTCCTGATCATTCATTTTTTAAAGGTTTATAACTTTAAATTAAATTGTGAAGCGCTGAGTAATCATACGACGTTCAATATTCTTTCTTTCAATATGACTAAATAATCCCAATTATAGCAATCTGATACTGATGTCTCAATGTTTTTTCGCTGAATGTGATGAAAACATTTGAAAAAGGTTCGCTTATTGAAATAAATCTACACCAGTTAGTACTTCGATTTCCAGGTAAAGGGAAAAGGCTCATTATCTGCCATATTGGCAGTGAGGATGGATTTGTTGTTGACGGTCTGTGGTGCTTTGAGTCTAAGAAAACTGGAGATTACCACGAGGAAATGAA